CTCTGTCGACGGAGGAAAGCTCTGAGTCACCAAAAGATCTGTTCCAGGTGCTGTTACAGAGCCAGGAGAAGACCAGCCCCTGGAGGCACCTGCTGGCTGAGGCTGTAGAGCAGCACTGTCCACCACTTACAGTGCTGGCAGCATGCCACCAGGTAGATTAAAAAAATGTTAACAACTACAAAAACTTAATAACCACCTTTGTTACTTCTGTAGTTTCTGATTCTGTCTTTCCCTGGGATATTGTGTCACTGGTGTTGCATTGTTTTCTGGTGTTTGCATAATTGTGTACATCATTTTATAGATGTCATTCTAGTTGGACAGTAACATATAAAGTTGTTGTTGTTGGTGTTGTTGGTGTTGGTGTTGTTGGTGGTGTTGGTGGTAGTGGTAGTAGTAGTAGTAGTAGTAGTAGTAGTAGTATTACTCAGCAACTAATGGAAAATGCTTGTACCTTGACCTGGCAACCACATTCCATCTGAGTACACCCTGCTTTGACTTTCCTTGTCATCACTTTAACCAGAGCAAGGTGAAATGGGCAGCATGTGGTCTACTTGAAACCCAATCTTAGATGCCAACACTGGCAATAGTTTTCATAATATTTTCATAATATACCTCCTACCATGTGACTATACCAGTTGTTTGTTCCCGGATCCGTCTAGTTTAGGACGCTGCGTGAGTGTAAACAATGTTACATGCAGCTTTTTTTTCTTTTCTCATGCATTTTTTGATTCTTCTTATGTTTATTTAATTAACAGGATGCTGAGCTCTTGCAGTGCTTATGTGTGTGGATTTTGACCTCTGTCGATGATGACATTGCCCAGGAGGCCACCGTCCACATCAATGAGAATCCAGCCCACCACACATGGAATCTCCATGACCTGTCAGTCTTATGGAAAACTCTCCTTCGCAAGTGCAAGATCAGGCCTCTGATTCGTGGCTTCCAGCTGTTCCAGCGGGTTAGGCACTCTCTCATGCCTCCAATGCATTACTAATGGGCCCATATTTTCCTTTTTTTTTTTTTTCTTTTTTAAATAGAATAATTTGATGCAGTCCATACAGTCCATATATAGAAACTAAGCTGCAAAAACAGTCTTTTTGTCAAATTTTTGTATTTTAAATTACTTGTAATGTCATTAAAATCAACACATTTACATATTTCAGCCTCCTGCAGTTTAGCCCCACTCACTCGTGCAGATATTATGAGGAGTGTTTCAACCCAGACTACTTTTTGAACAAGGCACAATATAGGACAGCCAATCAGAACAGAGCTCAAAAGCAGCTTTTGACTCTAAGGGATAAAGAGAGGTTGGAAAACAATAAAAATTCAACTCTTTTAGGGCTCTTGTAAGCCATATGTTGTAGATTCCAGTCCCTAAGGCAAATGTCATTAATACTGAGTCTTTCCGATGTCCATAAACTCTGTCTTTAGTTTGTATTGTTAAATGAAGCTGTTGTCTTGTGAGTCAAAATGTATTTTGTTTTTCTAAGTTTGCCGTGTCTCAAATCCTGTCCATTGTATCCCTTTAGTCTTTATTTACCTGAAATGTGAGTTGTTAAATGTAGTTTTCTCTTTGTTTCAAAAGTCTTCTCTCTGCTTTTTCCATCACAGGAGTCTCCACTGATCCACATGCTGCAGATGTTCGAGCTCTGCTACGACTACAAAAACTACGAGGGGGCCAAAGACAAGCTACTGGAATTCCAGAAATGTCTGCTCAATGTAAGACAAATCTGTTTCTGTCTGTCACTCTTTCTGTGTGACTTCTTGTTTTTCTTGTTGATTTGTCCGTTTCTCAGTCCATAATTTCCACGCTACTAGACTTCAGATAAGTATCTTCTCTACTTCCCCAAGGGCATTCTGTTCATGTTTTTTGTACCCTTATCTGCCCTTCTGTCTGATATAAATGAAACGGCTTCTGTCTGTTTAAGAGAGGAAGAGTACCTAATATAAGTCTGCATGAGTAATCTTCACTTCAATATTTGGAGCCTGTCAGGTTCTTTTGCGTTTGGTACAAGGAGAAACTCATGTCATGGCTATTTGTTAGTGACTGTCTGGGAGCAACCTTGAGTTTTCTCAGGGAGAGGAGGTGTCATAAGGATGAATTTGGTGTCTGGCTGATGCAAGGTTAGGTAGATTTATAGCCGGAGTCAGTCAGCAGGAGTGGGGCTGTGACACTAACAGTCCAGGATAGCTTCACTATAAGCGACTCCACTCACCCAGAGTAATCGGCTGTGTCAGAGTCATCCACTACATTACATGATATTTATGACCACTTAATGAGCCTATTAACTGACTCTGCCTTTAACATGAGCCTCCAAGGACCAGCACGCTGTAACATTATAGCATTATTATAACCTTCCTCCTCCTGCCCCTCTTTCTTTCTTTCTTTCTTTCATCCTCCAATCTTGGTTACTCTTAATTTTTCTCTTTCTGTCACTTTATCCCCTTATTTCATATTTCTGTCTTATTCTTTCTTTTTCTTATTTTTTCTTTTCCCTTCTTCTTCTTGATTTGTTTCTCTTTTGTCTTTATTTTTTTTCTTTTTTATCTTTCTCTTTTCTCTCTCTCTCTCTCTCTCTCTCTCTCTCACTTTCTGTTTGTCTGTCTTCTTCTTTCTATATATCTCTCTTTTCTCTCTCTGTCTGTCTGTATGTCTGTCTGTCCTTCTCTTTCTCTCTCTCTTCTCTTCTCTCTCTCTCTCTTCTCTCTTCTGTCTGTATGTCTGTCTGTCTTTCTCTTTCTCTCTCTCTCTTCTCTCCTCTCTCTCTCTCTTCTCTTCTCTTCTCTCTCTCTCTTTCTCTTCTCTTCTCTTCTCTTCTCTTCTCTTCCTCTCCCTCTCTCTCTCTCTCTCTCTCTCTCTCTCTCTCTCTCTCTCTCTTCTCTTCTCTTCTCTTCCTCTCTCACTCACTCACTCACTCACTCACTCACACTCACTCTCTCTCTCTCTCTCTCTCTCTCTCTCTCTCTCTCTCTCTCTCTCTCTCTCTCTGTAGTTGAGGAGCAGTGGTAGTGTGATGGGTTTGGAGTGTCTCCCGGTGCAGTGGGTGGAGTCTCAGGCCTCAGTGCTGCTCCTCATTCTCATGCAACAGTGTGGAACGCAGTACGAGCTGCGCAGACTGCTGCAGCTACTGGCTGACATGGAGCGTCTGCTCAAGTCTAATGGTAAGATGAAGGTGGGGAAAATTGCATTCACATTCACACTGTGAACTATATATAACAGCACACCTCTCAGAGGAAGTTGTTTTAGACACACATCCATTACTATAAGTCTGTGCGCCTTCATCTTGAAATTACTGTAGTGAAAAATGACCCAGTATAAATCATAATATTTCAGGGTGGTAAAGCTGAGGGCTCTTCCCATGGTGTAGTGCTGCGTTGAGGTGAAGAGGCTTGCATGTATTAGGAAAGAAAAAAGCTGTACTGCCTACAGTTTAAAGTCCTTTCATGGCCTCTCATGGCAGAAAGGTTTTTGAAGTGCCAGACTAAACCTACCAACTTTATTCCTACCACCAGCAGCAATATAGGCCACTGTCAGCAGCCAAAGATTACAAGTGATAATGGGAACTCAATTCAGTTGAATGGAAGAAGGCAGTATTTAAACCACTTTTGTACTTTACCAAGAAAACTACATGGATAGGCACAACAGAATGATTGTCACAAAGATGGGACCCTCAGGACGGAGGGCGTTCATTATCAGATTCCTTTTAGTACAGTTTGTGTGTAAGACACGGCTAGATTAAAGCATTCTGGATGTCTAGTTGCTGATGTTGGCAAGCGAGAAAAGAGAATTCAAAGCTGCAAAAACAAAATTACAGTCAGAACTTGGAACATACAGAGTGTAAACCGTGGTAAGCTGGAAGTGGTGAAGATGGAAATGGGACATCTACACATCAGCATCCCAGAGATCAGCAAATAAAAAAAAAAATAGAACGGATTAGGACACTTTAAATCAGGAGAACACACCATCTACTACTCAGGTTACGAACAACAAAAAAGAAATGGAGAAGCTCTCGTTGTCGAAAAAGGATGTTGACAAGACCGCTACTGGATGTAATGGTATGAATGATCAACTGATGTCAATCCGATTTCATGCACAACCATTCAACATGACGATCATACAGGTTTTTGCCCCAACAATTAATGAAACGAAGAGGAAATGGAAAAGTTTTATGACGAAGCTCAGACTAAAATTGATAAGACCTGCAAGTGAAATATACTGCTGATAAAGGTGAAAGACCAAGGTGAAAATGAAAAGGACAGAAATACAATAGTTGGACAGCACAGCCTTTGGAGCAGGAATGAATTAGGGGAGTGACTAATCAACTTCTCCAAGTACAAAGACTTTTGTTGTTCTTCAAGGAACCAAAACATCAACACACCTAGACAACACCAGATGGAGTTCACAGAAATCAAATTGATCACTTTCGTTGCACCTAGAGATGAAAGAGCTGCATTTTAATTGCAAAGACATGGCTTGAAACTGATTTTGGAGCAGGTCATGAACTTCTGTTGTGGAACAGAACACAAATGAATTTGCAAGCTCCTGTTATAGCTGAGCAAAAACAATCAAACCATGATCAGGTGTCCAAAATATGACCCGGAGAACATATTAACTGTCTTAAAAGGAAACATGAGGAACTGATTTCAGATGCTAGACCTAATTGATTAAGAACCAGAGGAGTTATGAGTGGAACCGAGGTCATCAAAGATGAATCAAAGAAAAAGAAAAGAATGAAAAAGAAAAAGACATTCAAATGGATGCTACAGTACTACAACATTTGTGAATATATCGAAATTGGAAACAAACATGGAAAAAAATAATTATTTTCCAGAAGATATTGAGATGAAACATAAATTTCAGCCTCGAGTGGATATGCTAAGACATGTCAAGACCTCTACAAAAAAGATGTCATTTGCCAAGACACTTTTGAAATCAGACAGGCCGGATCTTTGCCAGAAATAAATCAACAAGAACTGAGAGTGTTGCAATGGAAATTTCAAGATTTTGGAGAAAAAAGTGCTGAACAAATTATCATCAAATGTGGAAAGCCACTCAGTGGCAGCTTGGAAGAGCTCAGTTTATATCCCAATACCAAAGAAAAAAGACCAGAAATAGTGTGCGAACTATCATACAGTTTCCTTTATTTCATACATCTAGAGCGTAATTTGACTGAGGGAAATTGTATGATAGTTGAGGTAGTTGAGCTGATGTATGCTGAAAAGGGAAAAGGGAATTCAACAAGGAACTGTGCTTCTTTGACAACTGTGACAACCACGTAAAATTATAGAATGTCATCTGGAAAATGGGTAAACCAGAGCATCTCCTTTGTCTACATGAACCTCTACACTGAGCAAAAAGCCACAGTCATGACAGAAAATGTACTTTCACATCGACAAAGCAGTTAGACAAGATTACAAACTCAGCCTATATGCTGAGGAGACCATAAGAGAGGAGACACTGAGGAAAGATGGCTGAGGATTTAACACTGGCAGAAGAAACATCTATAAATTTTGATATACAGGTGATACAACATTTCATAGAGGAAGGTCAGAAGGACCTGAAGGCCCTATAAGGAAAATAACATGTAACAATAAGAAAAGAACATTAAAAAGACTAGTCTTCAGCTCGACATGAAGAAAACAAAGTTTATGACACACAAAAGCTTGAAAAGATCTTCAAATGTAATGATGTGTCTCTACAAACAATGATTAGAATTATCAAGGCTGTGGTGTTTCTCTGGTGTTGGCGAAGACTTTTGAAAGTATCTTGGATGGCGAAGAAAACAACTGAAGATAAAAATAGCCCATATAACTAAACCGAAGCTCTCTTATTTTAGACATATAGACCAAATACTTGGAAAAGACAATTGAGCTTGCAACAGTTGAAGGTCTAAGAGGATGAGGACAGTCAGCAACAAAATGGGCAGATACATTGAGATTTATTGAATCAGCCATTAAGAAGACCCAAGCAGAAGACACGACATTCTGGAGAAGCACTGTTCATATGGTCGCCAGGAGTCAGAAACTTGACAGCAATAATAAAAGCCTAGGTTAAATCAGGAAGTCAGCTTAGTTTTCATAGTTTTCATAGAGATCTCATTTCATCCATTCTTACACCTGCCTTAATTTCTCAAGGTCCTGACTTTAAGAAGCTGAGTCAGTTAAGCCAGATCCTGGCGGAGACCCCCGTGTGCCTGTCCCCATGCCTGCTGGAGGACTATACCCCTGAGAACCTGCAGAGGGAGTGCCAGAGCATGCTCGAGGAGCTTCAGGAGCTGGGCCTCTTCTCCCAGGCCAGGAGAGTGGCTGAACTGGCAGGGCTGCCCATCGACCGCCTCATCGTAAATGAGGTGAGAGCATCTTAACGAGAGGAATCTTGACACTTGGATTCATTATGGCTTCCAAATGGAATTGAGTGGAGTCTAATTGATTGTATATGCCACACATAAAGAAAGATAGATAGAAGATAACTGACCTGTATTTGAGAATCAGTACTTCTTTCCTAAACTGAAAGTGCTAATTCAATTACCATGTGACAGTTTGTTCCTAGAGTTGGCTGGAAATTACTGCCAAGAGCCAAGCACGTTAAGATTCTTCTGGTATTCTCATGGCTTAGCCACAGCTAAATAATTTAAAACTCTCCATTCTGTTTGTCTCACTCAAGCTGTTGCGGGACCTGGAGGTGCAGAAGGGCAAGCGGCAGTGGGAGAGGCAGGACACCCGACTGGCCTTCTGGAGGAGATGTCATGAGCAGTTCAGGACTGACTGCATTGGAGCGGAGGCAGCATGCCAGTTTTTTCTGTCTCAGGCTGAGGTTCTCTTCTGTTTTATTTTTTATTTTATTACTATTATTAACTAAACTTACTGTTCTTAACTAAACAATAAGAAAACATTGCTAAAAGTCTTCATGAAAACTGCGTAAGTGGCTTTTAAGAAGAAATTTAATCTTAAGAATGTTTGGTGAATGAGGCCCATTGTTCTGTTGTAGTTGTCCTCTTTTTACTGTTGTTATTGTTAATTGATATTTACTACAAAGGGTATTTGAAAGTTACTCAGGCTAATAAGATCATAAGAGATATGGTCTCAGCGTCAGAGCATATTTCCTTGATTTTCAGCTAAAATAGAACAGTTCTGTTTGTCTTTTTCATTCAGCATTTCAGCCATCAGGCCATTCGTTTGTTGGTTTGTTTGTTGGTTGGTTGTCAGTTGTCTGTTTTTTGTGTATTTGTGTACTGTTGGCTCTGTATTCCAGGACAAGAGTCCTGTCACATTTGCCATTTGCTATACAGTCATATGCAAAGGTCCCTGGTCAAATGGCATGTTCTGTTGATTTTCTATGTGACACATCCTCTACAGAAAACACACTTCTGCACATATTAATGTACAGATCCTGTTTATTTGCTGAATTGAACATGTGAATGTCAGTTTAATAGTAAGTCATCATCTCTTTGGCTGTTACTTGATATTTCGTCTCTTTAATACTTCGGTGCTCAAATTATGTTGGTTTTTGTGTTTTTCTAAAGACAAACTTCATGTAAAGACTTTTTATGTAAATTTAATAAAATTAAAAGTTTTCTGGTTATGACAGAATTATAAGAAATTATTAATATGTTAACAACTTGTTATTTTTTTCATTTCTAAATTCTATTGTGTATTCTGCTTTTTTCTGTAGGAGCCTCTGCAAAAAGATACAGAACTTCTTCATGTACAGGAGCGCTGCCTCCTGCTGGGTCTGGCTGGTCACTGGCTGTCCCAGTGCAGTTCCCATGCTGCTGTGGAGCGCATGGCTCATCTGGAGAAGCAACAGTGGCAGTGTCGTGTCCGCCGGCTGGTCCTGACCACTGCTATGGAGCAGGAGAGCCTGTTTGCACCGGCTGCTGGGGTGGAGGACTCCTTCAACAGCCTCCTGAAGGAATACTCCTTCTCTAAAATGGCTGTTCTGAACAATCCAGCACATTTGAGCCTGGATACACTTCCATCATCAGAGGAGAGATGCTTGCTGGTGGGAGAGGAGTGCAAGGCTCTGACCACTTTGATCGGCCAGCTGTTGGACGAGGGGAACATTCATGAAGCAAGTCGTGTGTGTAGATATTTTGGACTGTATCACAAGGATTTGCGGCTGGTGTTGCAGTGTCGAGGGCTTGGCCTGTGGAGAGCTACAGCCGGGCCTGCAGGAACTCCCCAGCCCTGATGCAGAGAGCAGGAGCAGCCTCCCCAGCTGTACGTACTTTGATCTCTTTTGCACACTTAGATTGAAACATGTGGCAACTAAACACCGTGTCATGTGTTAATAAAGCAGTGCTCCTTCATAACTGTGCATTGCCATTCAGAAGTTTGGAATCACTGATCTTGTTAAAAATGTTATTTTATATAAGGTATCTTCTACAATATAGATTTAAATATTAGAAACTACACATGATATTCAGTATTTCAAGTATGTTTAGGAACAGCAAAGTATTACTAAATCTGTTTAGGAATGTTTTTTAATGTATCAAGTTATCAGCCACTCTTTAAACACAAGGCATTCTGGATATTATGTGTCTTTTGTTAATCAATTAATAAAAGATATGTTCTTAATTATTGTGCTATGCAGTTTTACTCAATCATCTACAGCTCGGTCAATCATTCTGGGCTCATTTGAATACTTAATTTTTATTTATACTTCACAGCTTCCTAACTTCCTACTAATTATTTGAAACCATAGACTACCATATTAGAGTCATTTTATCTGCAGCCACATTGATTCTAGACTATAGTGCAAAGTCATTTGAAGGTTTTTTATTTATTTTTTCCTTTTTTAAGATTTGTTTGATATTGATTGCATAGTACACCATTCATTTTCACATATTTGTTTGTTCCAAGCTGTGTTTCATCTCTCCCCAGGCTCTAGCACTGGGAGTCTGTCTTCCTTTGTGGTGGTTTCCTCCCCTGAAGACCAGGTTCTTTCCCAACTCCAGCTGCTAGTAGAGCAGTGTCGTCATGGGAAAAGCTACTGCAAACAGGTCCTCAGCCTCTACGAACTCTCCAAGGTACAGCACACTTCCAGTGCAGTGAATCAGTGCTCTAACAAATAAACAAACAGAAACAGACAAAAGGAGAGAAGTCATCCAGAGATCCAGAAACATCTCAGTAGAAGCCTCCCATACTTCCTTACTTTATCTTTTAATTTAATGCTGGTTTTTCTCCTGCAGGAGCTGCGTTGCTCTTATGTTGAGATTTCCTCTGAAGAACCAGAGGCAGTGCTACGGAAAGTGCTGCTATCCCACCAGCCCGAGCGCTATAAGAAAGCCCAGGCATTTATCAGCGTCCAGGGGTTTAAGCCAGACACTGTAGCCCAGCTCATTTCCTCCACTGTGCTTGACGGACTACTGGCCTCCTCTCAGGAAGGAGAGACAGGTAACCGGGGGTAATTGTGTGCTGTATATTTGTTTGCTTTTTTTCTTTAAAACATTCATGTTTGAGCTTGATTTGTTTATTGGCCTCTCTCATTGCACAGCAGAGCGGTGCATATATAGCCCATCTGAAGGTAGAGAAGCCTTCCTGCAGCTGGCTAAGCTATGTGGAGATCCCAACTTGGTGGGCAACAAGTTGTTGGACAGCATCCCCACAGTCCCTCTGGCTGAGCTGGGCTGCAGTGAGTAACACATACGTATTACGTGCCAATCACAGTATGTTATCTGTCACTCTAGTGGAAGTGCCAAGGTAGACTATAGAGTAGCACTCCTTGGATAGTTTTATAATTTGCTCCCAGAAAAAAGACTTAGTGTTTGGCCATTTAGGGCCATAGTGATGTAGAAAGGCCTTGCTGCAATGGTATAAATTTGTGTGTGTGTGTGTGTGTGATGTGTTCATTTCCTGTAGCTGTTGAGTTGCTGATACTGGCCCATGACTGCTTCAGTCTGACTTGTAACATGGAGGGCATCGTCAAGGTCCTGCAAGCAGCCAGGCATCTCAGCCACACACACCTGGCCCATGGGGAGGGATACGGACTGCTGGTGAGTAACTGCACTTCTGCGTATGGCCGTGCATTGTTGTTATTGCTACTATATAGTAATATGTGCATTGCTACTACTGTTTTAGGCAAGAAACATCACTTTAGTCTCAAGCAAGTGTGTAAAGGTCTCAAATGCAAAATCAACATTAAACTGATGAAGATATAATGACAATAGTAGATGATTCACTTACATCCTCCGGAGACAAGCTGTTTACCAATTTTTGACTAAGTTCTCTTTGAATAGTCTTTCAACATGCTCCTAATGAACAGATTCATTCACTTGCTTTAACAGCTCCACAGTGTTTTAGGCAAGTGTGTGATGCTTTAGGCATGCAGATTGTACAGCACTGGTTGGTGGGGTATAAACTTCAGTGTTTTGTTAGCTTAGGGCAAACATGCAAACATCTGACACCAACCATTTCTTGGCTTGAGAAAATTAAGACATAAATGAAAATTTAATTTAAGTTACATAGTATAAAATTTCTATATTTTTTTTGCAATATTTTTTAATAGAATATCCAATGTGTTATGTTAATTAGAGTCTCGTTGGTCTGCTTTGGAAAAGTTTCATTGTTTTCTGAAGTTACAGTTACAGAGTTGAGTTTTTTCCTTTTAAATAACTGCAGTTGCTAAGAACTTTTATCTGCTCTGTACAGGTGCGACTTCTAACTGGAATTGGAAGATACAATGAAATGACATACGTTTTTGACCTGCTCAACCAGAATCACCGATTTGAGATGCTGCTGAGGAAAAAAGTGGAGTCGGTAAGAAAGAAATGTCCCAGTCACAATAATCTCTGTGCATGCATGTGCCTGTACACTCCCTGATTTTGTGTGTGTGTGTGTGTGTGTGTGTGTGCCTGTGTGTGTGTTTGTGTATTACAGAACACCAGGTTAAAGACGGCTCTGCTGGACTACCTTAAGCGCTGTCTGCCAGGGGACAGTGAAAAACACAACATGGTAGCTCTGTGTTTCAGCATGCGCAGAGAGATTGGAGAGAACCATGAAGGAGCTGCTCGAACACAGCTCAAACTCATTGAGTCACAGCCATGGGGTGAGAGGCGATGTCATACAAATGAGATGTAAAACTAAGAACATGCACACAATGTTCTTTGCACACAAAAAAAAGACACAAACATGGGTAGTAATTGCAGAATACTATGAATTGGTGGATTTGTACTCTCTTGAGTATTTTTAGATCATAATACTTCTACTCAGGTATATTTGTGAGTAAAGGAATCCATTTTTTACTCAGATACACTTCTGCCTTTCATTTTTAGTTACTAATTCTTTTTTTGAATTTCTTTTGTTTTGTTGGTGACAGCATCTTTACTGCTTTGTGATTAGTCACAACTCTGCCTTTGGAGCTTCAGCATTTTATTTTAAATTAAAAGAATCACAAACAGAGAAGAATAGAGTCGTACAAACATCAGTTCTTGTACTGCCAGATGCTGGATTACTAAGATGTTTCACTACAGTTCTATAAGTTACTCAGTACTTAAGTAATTTATGCCTGATATTTTTTTGTACTTCTTCTCAAGGCACTTTTACTTTTGCTTCTAATGTCGTACTTGTGTATGTTACGTAGTTTTACCCAAGTATTAATACTTTTACTTGAGTATTGATTTAGATTAATATACCTCTGTTAAGGAATACAGCTGACACTGTGGTCATATTTTAATGTTTATAAACTCATAAACATTAGCAATTCATATTTTTTCTGTTATTTCTTTCACAAATCAGCCGTCACCCCAGAACTCAAAAGTGGCCTGGAGAAAGTCCTCTTTTTGCTCAAAGATGCTGCTGAAAGTTACTCTAAGGTAGTCCCAGTTTTCAGTTGGTCTTACCGTAAACTTCATTTTTATGGTACTTTTGTACTGTTCATCCCATTTTTGAGAATTGATATGACTCTGTGTGTGTGTGTCCTCTCAGGACTCATGCATGCGGCAAGCACTGCGGTGTGTGAAATTGGCTAAGCTCATCACCCTGCAGCTTCACTTCCTCAATCATGGACAGGACCACCGTGTTGTCAACCTGCGACCAGCAGAACTGCTCAGTGCCGTTGTAGCTCTGCCACGCTGTTACCAGGTACCATGCATGGTTTCTCAAAGTTATTAGTGTACTCAGAGGTCAGAGTGTTGATTTATATATTAGTCTTCATTCCAACATGAGCATTGCATATGGATCATTCTACCGAATCAGTCAGTCAGACTTCAGAGTTCAAAACACATTTCAGATTTTTAACTGACTTGGACTTTTAACTAAAATCCTTTTGCTTTGGATGACCCTATATCTTATTTTTATTGAAAACAAATGATTGAATGTTCAATTTTGTCACTGCCAAAACAATCATAACATTACCAAAACTTTACCAAAAGTTTACTTAATTACAGAAAATATGTGTTTTGGTTTTGACAATTCTTAATATTACACACTGATTTTAAGACTTTGGGACACACACACACCTTCTAAACCACTTATTCTTCTGGGTTGCTGGTGGGGGGAGGCTGGAGCCTATCCCAGCAGTCATTAGGGGGTAGGCAGGATACACCCTGCACAGGTCACCAGTCCATCGCAGGGCAGACAGACAAACATATACATTCACACCCACGGGCAATTTAGCATGTCCAATTAGCCTGACTGCGTGTCTTTGGACTGTGGGGGGGAAACCCACGCAGACACGGGGAGAACATGCAAGCTCCACACAGAAATCGAATCGAACCCAGGCTCTTCTTGCTGTGAGGCGACAGTGCTACCCACTGTGCCACCGTTCACTTCGGGACACAGTTTCTTTAAAACAACTTAACCGTGTAGCTATGAGGGACAGGGATGCAGTCTCACCTCCTGCTCTAAAATGCAGGGGTGTGGCTAAAATAAGGCTCCGCCTATGTTCTAAAACTCTGTGTTTTGGTAGTGACATGAAAACATGGGATAGCAGTTTTTGAATACACTTTTTTTGTTTAAATTAAACTCCTGATCTTTCAGCCTTAATTTAATAGTAAAGAAATGTCAGTATTACTTTCACAGGTTGACATTTAGGGGTTAGGGTTTGGGACAGCCACCTCCTAATAGAAAGGACCCTCTAAATAATTATTTTATATATATTTGGCTTATTACTTTCTCTATTAGTGCCTGAATAGATCATAACATAATCCTTGTAAATATCAAAGGTCTGAATACTTGTTTTTTTAAATAGTTTTTTTCATTGCGGAACTGCAGTTTGAACTAGTTTGGTAGAATGATCCATATAGACACTAAGAATAATGTTATGTGTGCTATCATATGATTATCATGGCATTATTATATTATTATCATGTTCTATTAGAAATTAATTAAATTAAAACAATATTTATGCATAAAAAATCTAGAGGTTATCATACATGCATATCAAAATCATATGAAAATTGTCTTAATTGTCCAACTGACACTGAAACTGATTTCTGCTTTATCCCCTTTAGTCGTTTGTAGTAGCAGAGGCGTACGATTATAGCCCTGACTGGGCAGAGGTCCTGTATCAGAAGGTGATTCTGAGAGGAGAATTCTCTTACCTGGAAGAGTTTAAGCTTCACAGACAACTTTCAGCTAGTCTGTTTGAGGAAATCTCCAAAAAGTAAGCTTTATTTATTTATCCTGAGTATTGAAACCTTTTCGAAAATGGGAAATAGAAAGTGAAGAGTTATTTTTGTTTCTGTTAAAACACTTAGATGTTTAAATGTTAAATCATCAGAATTCATCATAGACTCTGTACCTCTTGCTTCATCTTTTAAATTACTGATTTAACTTTTCTTTCTAGACTTTTACTCAACAAGCCCCCAAACAGTGCCAGTCAGAACCTGAAGAAACTCCTTCAGCATTGTGAAGATATCTACACCCGCTACAAACTGGCCTACGAGCACAATTTTATTGATGTGGCCAACATGCTCCTTCAGGACTCCAAAACAAACAGTTACCTTAATGACCGATTAAGCACCTAGCTACTACATTAACACGCTTCTCCTTAACAGTCCACTTCTTTCACACAGAGTCAAGTGTTATGATCCCGTCGTAACTACGGTGCCAAATCTGAAACTTTCATACTTTTTTGACTTTGGTAACTCTCTGTGACAGAGTTTCATGCGCATCCTTTTCAGTAGCATTTGAAATCATAGCTTTACTTTTTCCAGATATGGCTTTTGTGCTTTAATTGCACTATTGGTCCATCTGATGAAAGGAAGTGCTTTTCCTTTAAGTCTTTAATGGAGAGAAATAACTAAGTGTACATATTTAAGAGATTAAATTTAACTTTGTTAATTTATCGGCTTTGTTCTTCCTTACACTAATATGGAACCACATTTACATGTGCTGCCTTGTTGGATGCTTCGCAGACTTACTGTAACATGTTTTAAGAGTGTAGTACCTTTGAATTGTCACTAGATGCTGTTATAGTTGCTTACATGATGGGAGCAGAGAGACAATTTCCCAAAATGCTGTCCAGCCTCTGGATTGGGCCATCCATTTCACTTTCTTGCCTTGTCAGAATTGCTGTAGTGGAAATTTGTTTAGACTGAATGTGGCACAGTGTCTCAGATTATGTTATAAACATTGTGGCAGCTCATAACACATACACAACCTCAATTTGAGAAAGAATTATGTTACATTTTTATCACCTCTTGTCTACATATAAGCTCCTATTCACCACATACTAAAGAAATTTGCCTGCTTATATTCAGCCTGACAAAATATACATCATTTTGACCCATCAGTTGCCTAGCAACATTCTGACAAGGTCATGCCAAATGTGAAATTACATGAAACTGAATTGTTTCTGACAGGAGATTCCATAGTGGAAAACACTAAGATGGCGTCTTTGACCCCTGGGTATATGTGTCTAAGCTTCAAACGCCTGAGATAATAGACACTTTTTCCTCTCTTCAAAATGTGACATTTTATCTTCTCACACATTTGCATTCAGTGTTTAATATTCCTACTCTCACTTTTGGTCTTCAGATTAAGGCAGATGATGTGTTTTAAACCTTCACAGTTTATAATGGAGGAGAAAAGTGTCACAGATGTCATGAAGGTCATTATGAAGGGTTCACATTATGGACTGACCTACAACATTTGCCTTTAGAGAAAAAAAAAGGTCTGGAGTGTTCAGTGTGTTTAATAATGAAGTGGATTCATTCTCAAGCAATAAAATAGTAAATGTCTTTACTGCTTCTAACGGCACAGAAACTAAAGTTAGCTAACAGCTCTCTGTATCTTCTTGGGTCATTCAGAAGAGCTAGAACAGCTGTGAGCTTTGTATGTTAATGTATACAAGTTAAGCTCCATTAGATCTGATAGTCTGAGACGGGGCTTATTCCACCGCAGTTTGACTCTCACTGTGTCTTTATGCTCAAGTTTTAGTCTTAATGTGTGGTTTGTGTTTCTTTCACACACGTTTTATTTCACACGCAGTTAGCTTTATTTGTGCTGCTGTATCAGACTGTATGAACTCGCTCGTTTCGCTCTCAAGCTGGTCTCAGATCTGTGGCACAGAGTTTCCCCGCCCACTAAAGCGCGCCTAAAGTGACGTCAGCGCTGTTTCCAGATCAGCGAGAGGCTTTAATGTGAATTCAGCTTCAGGGGGGACGGAGATCCCCGAGGCTTCAGGAGATTCAGGCTCATATGCACATGGCTACAGCACTTTCAGCGGTTCAGAGCTGTGAGCTCCACTGGAAAAGCCAGAACTGCGGCTTCAGCCGGGGCTCCTGAGTTTCTGTGTGTTTCCAGTGGCTCCCCCAGAAGAAGAGGACGCTCAGTCACTTCGGCTCACTCACCTCAGCCTTTCTGGCAGCGATGGGGGCGAAACACTTCACTGTGTTTGTGCTCAACACTGCAGTCTTCATGCACGGTAGGTGTAAAATGCCTTTAACATCCCCTCATTCACTCACAGGCGGTTACAGCGCTCTTCTGTAGCCTTGACTGCGCTGAATACCGTGAGCGTCCCTGTACAGTCAGTACGAGCTCGACTAAGACTAACTGCTGTGCTTCCTCTGGTTTCATTCAAACGCTGCTCACAGTTGGTGAAGGTCAGTTTTTGAAGTCAGTCTTTGGTTCAATTTGCACACCTGCCAAGTGGATTTGAAGTGCATCTCGCAAAGCTCAGAACTTGTACATGATAATATGTCTGATAACGTTACATGTAGTGGTGATGAAGAGGTGTATGTTTGGTCACTCTTTCCTAACAAGTTTAACTGCACTTCCTGTTTTCCCCGGAGAAGATGAAGCCGCGTGCAGCTGAATCCTAACAGCTCATCAGGCTCAGTTTGGAGCCGTGTTTCAGCTCCGTGAGTGGGCTTCATTAGCATACTGACCAGAAACACAAGAACTGCCTAGAAAAAGTGGAGTCATACAGAAACATGGCTTTTTTTTTCTCAGAGCATTCATTCAGTCATTCGATAAACGATTCACTCGTTGTCGGTCATGCGAAAAGTAAGGTATTTATTTATTCCTTCATTCATTCAGTCAGTCAGTAAGTGATTCATTTGATAAGTGAGCCAGTCATTCAAATATTTAGTAATTCATTCATTCATTCTGCCTTTTAATCTTCCATTCATTTAAACAACCATTCAGTCATTTGTTAATTCATTTAGTCACTCTTTCAGTCATTTAGTCTGTCACTCATTCATTCATTCATTCATTCAGCAGTCAGTCAGTCTCATTCAATCATTTGATAAGTGAGCCAGTCATTCAGTCAAACATTGGTAATTCATTTATCCAGTCAGTCAGTCAGTCATTACTTCTGCAATTTATTCTTTCGTTCATTTACTTCAGTCATTTATTTTTACTCATTTATCCACTCAGTCATTTAGTCTGTCACTCATTCATTCATTCAGTCAGTCATTAAGTTATTCATTCAATCATTTGATAAGTGAGTCAGTCATTCAGTCAAATATTTAGTAAACCATTCATTCATTCATTCTGCCATTTAATCTTTCATTCATTTAAGCAGCCATTCAATCGTTTATTTACCATTTATTCATTGGTTACTCTTTCATGCATTTAGCCTGTCATTTACTCAGTCTTTCCTTCTACCATTTAATCCTTTGTTTATTTACTCAGTCATGTGATCATTCATTCACTCATTTAATACTCATTCATTCATTCTTCCTCATCGCTTGATCTAATCCTCCTCTCTTTATTTCAGCACTGGTTCTTTTCTTGTTTAGTGCTGAAACTACCTGTATGAGGCAGATCACTGTAAGCCCTCCTGCACTGCTGTTCCCTCAGTAACGGTCTCAGTCAGGATGGTGGTGTCTTTAATTGCCCTTGTCTGGCCACAGAAGGTCACGGTGTGTGAGAGGTGAACTCCACAGGGAGTCGTTTCACAGACTGAAACCACCCTGCAGTAAAACCTGCCTAAAATAAAGCGGGGCTGTTGAAGTACAACGACCTAATCCATTTTCATTGATCTACCAGTTGAACTCTTTATAGTTCAGATGCTCAGGATGGAAAAGCAATGAGAAAGACAAAAGAGAAGTAGTGCACATGGTCGACTGTAACAGCTGAAGTAGATGGTCATTACTTGAATGGTACAATGCCTAATGGGTTTCTTAAATTTAAATCCTTTTCCTTTGTATTCTTTATAATAATTAGATTGTCTGAGGTCTGATGTTTCATGGACAGGAGTTACAGTGAGTTGCCTTTACACAGCTGTATAGTCATCTCTGAATATGCAGCCAGGTCTACAGGGAAGAGCCAGTTGATGAAATTCCCAGATCAATAAGTTGCCATCTGGACTGCCTGCCGAAGCTGTGGCTTGTCTGATTTGTACACTCTTTGGTGCCCTGCATTCAGATGATTGACTCAGGCCGGCAGATTAACTCTTTAAACTCTAAGATTATTATTCATTTATTCATCTTAAGACTTATAATTCAGTAAGTCATATAAATTATTCAGTCACTTCTGTGAAACTAATATGTAAGTTATGCAGTTATGAGAGAGACTGAAGTGTAGCCCCACAAGTTTAAGAGGTTAATACGAAATGTTTGGTATCACAGTGACTGTTTAGTGTTTGTTATTTGAGTGTTTTTAATGGTAATTGGCTGCCCTTTACAGATACACGACAGTACTGTGCACAGGTTTTAGACACCTGAGAAAAATGGAATTAAAAAGTTTGCTCAGCAAATCACCAATATTAGAATAAATACAAAAACCTGTGATTTTACATATGTCAATCTGTTCATTAAACCAAATCTCTCTTTGTGGCAGACCAGTATTATTTGTGTCTACCATCCAATAGGTGGCTAACCAGTGCTTCATGTTAAATCAGGTTGGAGCTTAACAAATCCATGCAATGGCTGGTGGCATCGAGAAATCTAGAACCACATTTTGTTCTTCAAGCTACCTTGCAAGAGCTCACATTTTTCAAAATAAGGCACTCTTGTTACTTTTTACTGTATTTATGTTTATTTCATTTCTTTTCTAATGACAAATATTGTTTATATGGGAAAAAGAACACTTATTGCCACACATGAACTAAAGATTGCTGTGAAGCAATTGAGCCAAATAAATAAATAAATGGAGACAAATAAAAAATTAGTAATTGAGACTCCATTTACCTAGATTCACATTTTCTGAGCATTGCTGTTTTGTAGAAATGTGATTTGTCCTGTCTTGTCTGTGGGTGGTCCTCAGTGTCCTTGCAGGGGGAGCACCAACGGCGTTTGTATAAGGACCTGATGAGGAACTATAACCCACTGGAGAGACCTGTTTACAACGACTCTCAGTCTCTAACTGTTCACTTCAGCTTCAGCCTCATGCAGATCATGGATGTGGTGAGTAAACATACACAAGCTCATACATGCATATTAATGAAGCACATATGGCACAAATAAAAGTCCCACTGTGGAATGGCTTTATGTGGTAAGAGATATAGTGCCCTCCAGAAGTATTTCAATGAATAATTTCACCTCACTGAAAGGTTAAATTATTCATTATTCATATTTTCAGTGTACATTCAAGTTCATAAACATTGTTCTGCCCGTCTTTATCAAGGGGGCCACTAAATCCAGTGGGTACTGTATACAGTTGAACACAGAAAACCAGAACTGTCTGATAAAAAATATCTGCCATTTATGCATTCATACCACACTGCTCAGCAATGGCAACAAAAATACTAGCCATATTGTAATAAATTTAACGTGTGAATTTTGCACAAATTAACAAACCTCACTTTCTGCTTTAGGTTTAATGCTGAAGTAAAAACACATATAATATTGTCATGGCAACATCATCTTTTCAAGGCTGCCACACTGACAGTAGCATGACATTAACATATGGTCTCAGTTATATTGTGCTGTATAAGATGAATGTTAATGTGAATTTTTATGAGGCAGCGAAATATGTTTCATCTCAGACTCTCAGATTTGCTCTCTCACAGCCCACTCTCTGTCTCTTCATTTCTCTCTCACACTTTTTATCAGAAATCACAATTGGAGTCTGTTTACAGGCCAATTACCACTAGCATGTCAGCATTTACTACTGTGCTGAGCATGGTCCACCACTCAAATAATATCTGGTCAGCAGCGGCCCTCAGAAAGTGACCAGTGATGAATAGATAGAAGTCAGGCGATGTCTGTTATTGAACCCCTGTATAGTGGACCTCAAAATGGCCAGTGAGTGGCAGTACAAAGTAGGTGCTGAGTATTTAAATGTAGGTCTATATATATATATATATATATATATATATATATATATAGTATATAGCTGTGCAAAAGCTTGGGCACCCTTTGCCAAATTACAAATATTCCTTTTTTGGATTTTTGAAGTAAAGAAAACACCTTTTCATTCAACTATTTTTAAAAATAACATTTTTGCAAATGTTACTGCACATTTTGTATTTTTGTAAAAAAAATTGTAATTAAGGTATGTGCTGAAGTTTGGATACCCTACTAGTCAGTATACACCCCCTTGGCAGAGATCACGGCTCACAAATGCTTTTTTAGTCTTAATATTCTTGTTTTAGAAATTTCCACCCACTCTTCATTGCAGAACACTTCTATTTCTACAGTACTGTTGGGCCGTTTCGCATGCATAGCGTGTTTAAGATCTACCCACAGATTTTCAATGATGTTCAAGTCAAGGTGACTGTGAGGGCCATTCCAAAAGGTTCAGCTTGTGTTTCTAGAAGAAGTTCATGGTGGATTTTGTGGTATGTTTTGGATCATGGGCCTGTTGTAGAAGCCAGCCTCTTTTCCGTTTCAGTTTCTTGACTAACAAGTCCTAATATTGATAACTTAAAGAAACTGTGCATTAGCATTTGCGGTTAAATTTTATTTTTTCAAATAGTTTTCAATAGCCAGTTATCCAGATATGCCCAAACCTACAATTGTATAAAGTAAATAGATAGATAATTATCTTGTTCAAATCCCATCCCCCCATCATTACTAGTTTATTAATAGATAATTATCTTGTTCATGCCCCATCCCCCCCCCTTTTTATCAGTTTTTTTCTGTGAAAGGTCTGTTTTAGGCCTTAGAACGATATGCTATGACATGTCCTCATCCAGTAAACAGTATTTAGTGTCTTGTCATGGACCATCAATGTCATAATTTACTATTAAATTGGGAAAATAAAAATAGAGCATTCTAGGGGTTTAGAACCAGCCTACGGTTTGATCTTTGTGTACATCAGGTGTTCATTTTGGACAGATTTTATGCTGTGTTTTGACTGAAATGAGATGCTTGTGTAGCTCCCTCCTGATCTGAACACACCACACAAAATCTGAATCACATGCAATTAGACACAATTCACCAACCATGGAGTTCCCCTCCCTTTCAGCTGCTCCAGTTCTAAAGGGGAACAAGCATCATGATTGCTTGCAACAGTGAATGAGACTATCAAAATCTCTCCATTTGGCCTGCTATTCTAATGGACATCGTTCTGTATTTTTGCCATATTACTCTAACAGGATTTTATTCTGTGTTATTTACTTATTAATTATAACATGAGAATTCCACGCATGAATACACGGTTCTTGTTTTTAAGGTGAATGCATGGTCAGTTCAGTTGTTTGAACTGTTTTCACACCGAAACCCAAAAATACACAGAGGTCTGCAGCACCCACCCACCTATCTCAGTCTGATTACAGCTGACAGTAAAAAATGTGTAATGGGGCTGAATGTTTACAGTGCAAACATGATTGCTAGTATACATTTAACATGACCGCTTCTAGAAGGTTTTCAGTACAGAGAAATGCAGCTACAACATCAGCACATTCTTCTAAAGTACTGAAGAAAACCAGAATGTTATTGGTGGTGTTAGGATTAAAATTGCTGATTGTAGCTTAGATAAGAGTGGTGCTATGATCATTATCCTCACTTTCCAGACAGTAGCATCAGCTGGATTCACTGCACCAATGAACTGGCATAAGCCCTGCTCTTTTGGAGTGAGCGAACCATTCAGATTCAGCTCATATCACTTTCATTTGGCACCAGACCACAATCGAAATACCTCAAAACTGATCCTCTCTGAGTCAAACGTTTTTTCCATTTGCAAGATGGAAATACCAATATGGTCTTTTAGTGCTGTAAGCTAGCAATTTTGCATACCATTCTGTGACTGTGTGTGTCAGAGCCAATCAAATTCCACTCCAATAAGGTGTAACAGTGTAGAGAATCATCTGGCCCTCATGCCTATAACACTACAGCCAGTGTGAGAAAGGTTCCAGTTGGTAAGAGTGAATGCTCAGCATGATCTTAAACAAACCTTGTTGACCCTAATTTTGAGGTCTGTGAATTTCTTTTTGTGAAAGAACAGAAAGTACCCAAGTAATCAAAAAGCCATTCCACAGAAAAAAATCAAAACATTTTATATCAAACATTAGTTTTTTTTTGTCCACTTACCCTTGATTATAATGAGACTGCAAAATTTCATTTCAATCAGTATGCATATTGAGGCTGCGACTTCACAACTCTCATCATACTTTCCTTTTGATATTTTTAAGTGATTTTTACTCTGGCACTTTTTATCTGACAAATTGCATGGTTATGTTTTCCAGGATGAGAAGAATCAAGTTTTGACAACCAACATCTGGTTACAGCTGGTAAGCTCTCATTCTTTATTCATATTTTCAGAGGATTTGTTGAGCATTCTGGAGAATAAAAGCTTCATACCTTTTTTTCATAATTGATGATTTTATTATATGGTACACCATTTTTTTTTCTCACATACTACAAAATTCAGTTTCTGTGCTGGGCCTTCGATGTCACTGAGATTTGTATCAATAATAGTTTGGTCCAAGTTTTTGTCAATTGTAGTATCTTCATATGGGGTTAAAGTGGGATTTCGGAGGTAGGTGAGCCCAATTTTTTCCATGGCTGTGCACAATGTGGGAACAACATTTTTTCAATTTATATGGCATTATGTGCAGTTCTCAGCACGGATATCATGAAAAGTATTTTTCAGGTTATGACATCATGAAAATATCGTCTGATTGTTTTCTGACAAAGTTACACTAAAGCCTTTAATTAGGCAAAGTGAACTGTCTCAAACCATAATGCCACCCATCTGACATCAGTTACTTCAGGTTTAATAGGATAAATAACAGCAAATAATATAGCCTTCTTAGTTTTAAACAGATTTATTTAGTACAGCAGGAAAGATTTGATGCGGGCTTACAGATTTGTGAAGTTCTGTAGAATGATGCAAGGAGGACGAATTAACTGTTTAAAGCAGCGCTGTCCAAAGTGGAGCCCGCCACCAACAGTTGGCACGTGAGGACATTTGATTCGGACCGCCAAAGAGTCAGAGATCCCAAATCCTACTCTCTCACCCAACGAGAGCAGAAACATATCACCCCTGTCCAAAAAAAAACATATTGTCATTTTTGTTGGTCTTTCCACATCATTTGATCACAGCAGTTGTCCCATACATTGTGTAAAAATTTGTGATCAATAGAAAAGCTCCAAAATCACGTTAAGACCAATTTTGCCTTCTCCTGGAAAGTTTTAGAGATCCTTTTTTCAGCAGCAATATTTTTATTCTACATATAACTTATTAAATTCTAATTTTTTTAAAGAAAAATCTATTTTTTTTGTGTGTTTTAGTAACAAAATGGAGTGTAATATTGCATGCTGACTTGCCAAGACAAAATATTTCAATGTTAAATGTTTCAGTCGATTTCACAAAGAATGTTTTAAAAAGATGTACGTTTCCATCAAGTTACAGTGCCAGAGCTTAGCTGTTTTCCGTTCACACAAACCACGGGTGCCAGAGCTCCTCTCCAGTGTTCTCCAGCCCAGTTTAACCTGTTTATATATGAACATAGGGGAATTGAATGCAGATCAGAATTCTTACCCTGATATTCTTAATGTATATGTATTTATGACCTGTGTTCAGTTTCTGCACCTTGTGCCAGGAAATATACAGCAGGTCAATGGAGACACTGATCCAAGATTAGGTAATTTGGACAGATTCTTTCAGTCCAAGCACTATTGGCAAAGTAAGAGTAGCTGCATTAGGCAAATGAACAAAGTTTCTGGTCATTACGGATTACATTGAGGCCAAAAGGGACACTGTTTTGTTGGACTCTACAAAAAGGGTGAATTAAACATCCTAAAAACTGTAGGATGAGCGGTCTCTCATTTTTTCTAGAGCTTGACTTGCTAATGCTCTAAATGAATTGACTCCTCTTTCCTCAGCATTTGACCCAGATAAGAAGCCAATTGAGGAAAATTGCACTGTAAACACTTCTATGCACTTCCAAGCTCCACACGCTTCTGAAAGATGTTGTTTTGGTGTGAATCTCTTTACGTAGGATCAGAGAAATGCATGCAAATGAAGTGTTTTGATTTTCCAGCACTTTGAATGCTTTGAATTCTCTGTCACCTGCAGTGTGGCTTCAGACTTCAGCCTGCCACTCATTCCTTCTCTGGGCAACTGCAGGAGTTTATTATTCGTGTGAGCAAATGTATATACACACGCATTTATACTCACACGTTCAGGAATACATTTTGTTTATGGCTGCAGTTTTTAAATGATACAGTGGCTCAAATTTAATTACTTTGTTATCAGTGCTCCTCTGGGTTTGTGAAAAAAACCTCCAGGATCCCCACCATCTTTAAAACTGCCTGTAAAAAAATTAAGCTAATGCAGCTTAGCTTCTGTTATCTTTTCTTCTCTTGCTCTCCCTGTCTCTCTCTCTCTCTCTCTTTCTCTTTCTCTCGCCATTAAGGTTTAATCCCTAGAGCCTTTCTCTCCTGCAGCCCTTTTAAACTCGCCTCTAGACTAAAGTACTCTTTCAGTTTGATTTTGCTGCACTCTGCCAAAATTCACCCCTTGTGCAAAAGTTTTCTTAACTCAGTCAGTGAACCGTACAGCCTGTGAATGTTTTGAGAAGTGAGCACTTCTCTCTCTGGTTTCTAATAAGGTTAAGCTGCTTTAGGCCTAGAGGTTTATATATCTTTTATTCCTCAAATGTCAGTCATTTGAAATGTTTCATACAGGAATGTAGAGAATGATGATTTTGCAGGGCTCTGTTAGAAAAGGGGCCATTGCTAGGTATTATACAAGTATTTAACCTTGAGTAAAATAATGACTGAAGCAGAAGTAAAAGTACCTTCCCACATAAATAGAAGTACAAAAGTATCAGGTCAAAAAACTACTTAAGTACTGAGTAACTGACAGAACTGCAGTTGAACTTGGTGTTAAATTTCAACATCTACTAGGGTTGGGCAGTATAAAAGTAATAAGGTATATGGCAGTATTTAAAACTTATATTCCAAAATTATGGTGTGAATGACTGAATAAACACATTCCACTCTTGTATTTTAGAGGGGCTCACCGATCAGTGGTGTAGGAATTTACTGATAGGTGGTACTGTTAGAAAGAGAGTAAAAACCTCATGATAGCAGCTCAACTACAGCTTGCTAAGCCACATACCACACAACACACTCAGTTTCAGCCTTCACTCTAAAGACCATAACACACTGAACACGATGTGAACACACAACACAAAAATGTGAAATTGCAGTGCAGACACAATATTAATTTTGCTGTGTTGTTCACACCACAAAAAACAAACTAGCAGAACACCTACTAAAAAGATCTCCTTTGCTTGTTTGTGTAGAAGTACCCCTGTTGCGGAATCCTGCATTCAAGCAGGCTGCTACAGTAAACACTAAAACCTTTAGCTGGTGGGCACGGAATGGGCAAACCATTTGCAGGATGCTTTCCACTTTGGAAAAGCGAGAGAAAATGGAAAGTGTCTCTGCTTCATTTAGAAGATAAAACTTCGAGTGCTGAGCAAATTCAGTTCGAGCTGCTTTTGGAAATGCAGCTCCACACAAGACGAAGCACAAAACAAACAGGCTGAATGTTTCCAAGTGCAAATAAGATCTCCTTTGCTGCTCATAGAACAACCAAACTGTGACAAAAAGTAGGCCAACGCAAGTTTGCATTTTGGAAATGTGAAAGTTGAATGGAGAGCTTCCATGAATTCCATGCTGATCTAAGCTGGTTTAAGCTGGTTTATTCTGGTCTAGTGCTGGTTTTACTAGTCACCCGGTATGGTCATGCTGGTTGACCAGCGTATCAGCATCCAAAGCACAACATATGCTGTTTTTTCTGCTGATCAGCATAAGCTTCTATTGCTGCTCACCAGCATCCAAAACACAACATATTCTGGTTTTGCTGGTGACCAAACATGCTGGTCTATGCTGTTTTTTCTAGCAGGGTTCTTCCACATATAACCTTAACTTGGATGCTTGGAAGTTCCATTTGCTCGTACACGGTGGATGCATCATCTTGGTTGTCGCCATGCCAACAGAATTAGCCAGTTAGCTATGGTTAGCCAGAACTTAACATGTTCTGCACTGAGCAAAGCTGTTAGCATGTTAGTTAAGCTAATGCTACCCAGCTCCTGTCTCTAGTTAGCAGCACTGTTTAACATTCTCAGTTGTTATATAGTTGTTATATCATGTGAAGCAGTAAGTACACCCCATGAAATGTTTCCATAATGTGGACTAATTGTATTTGATCTTCAGTTAAACAGTAGATTTAACTGGCTCAGTAACTTATGCTGCTCCCTTTGACAGGACCAACTTTATCTAGGCGTTTCCTGTAACTGTCTACCATTTTATGACATCTATGAGACATTTTTGCGCTTTCCTCCATGCTGAATAATTTCAGCTGTGCAGTGTTTGAGGGGTTTCTTGCATGTACAGCCTGTTTCAAATTCCCCCCACAGCATTTAAATGGGATACCAATCTGGGCTTTGATTAGGCCAATCCATATCCCTCCATCTTTTCCTTTTGAACCATTCCTTGGTGGATTTTCTTGTATATTTGGGATCATTATCCTGTTGGAAGGTCCACATTTTCAATTTTTTTTTACATTTGATGTCACATTCTCCTCAAGCACTGTCTGCTATGAAAGATAATTGCCAGCCCCTGAGGCAGCAAAGCAGCCAGATGTTGTACAGAAGAAACCATCTAACTTACATGCAAGTTAGATGGTTTGGCATTTATTGAATAATGGCTTGAAAATTACATGGTGCTTATGTAAGCGAACTCCTCTTCCTGTTGTCAATCTTGAAATAACGCAGGAAAAGATGGAAAAACAAAGTCATAAACTTCACTTACTACACAACCTCTGCCCCATCTCTTTTTTTCCCCTCTCTTTTGGGATTCTTCTGTCCTAAAATAAAATGCTGAAGCTCCAAAGTCAGGGGTGTTACCAGTCTTAAAGCAGTAGAGATGTTGTCACCAACAAAACACAATGAAATTAAACACAAAAAGGAATTAGTAACTAAATATATATTGCTAAAATGAATCTGAGTCAGAAATAGATTCCTTTACTCACTAATATACTTGAGTAGAAGTAAAAGTATTATATGAAAATACTCAGAAGAGAAATTAATATTTTACTTAAGTACCTGTACCTTAGTAAATGTAACAAGCTCCTTTTTCTACCTTCTTATTAATAGCATCTACTTCTTTAACTCGACACTTGCTTGTACAATGATGGCTTTCTCTTGCTGAATTGATAGGTGTGTGTAGAAGTGCCTCTGATTCAGTATGCTGGCTTCAAGCAGGCTGCTACAGCAAATGCTAAAACCATTAGCTGGAGGGCACAGCAGGAAAACAGGATTATGAAACTGACTATATAGGCCAGCCATGTGCTTTCGCACTAAGATACGTCCGCCATTATACTTCATGATCAAATTTAGGCAGCTGTCTTGCGCTCAGAGAATGAGCCATTACAAAAAACAACTGAGCTTCTCCAGAGCCTTTCACCAAACAGCATGCCAGACACACATTATGTAATTAGATATTATATTAAAGAAATTGACTTGGACCAGACCACTGCCTAGACTGATTTCTCAAACTGATTCTAATTTATGAGGGTGGACTGAGGTCAGCCTTGAGGTCACAGTGCCCACGACTTTCTCTATTCTGATCCATCAGATCTCCTGCTAATGCAAATCTATAGCAGCCTGCACAGGACTTTTGGTTGTGGGATAATCTTTGTCTTTTTTGATTAGAAGTGTTGACCTTTTGCATTTTACTTACACTTTTCTTTATTTACATATTTATAGCTCATTTAAGTTTCATATAATTTTAATGTTCATTGCTAAAAATGTATTCAAGCCAATATAGATTTAAATGCAAAACTATCCTTTCTGAAAAATCTGTCCTTCTGCTAAATGTGAACAGCGCACTGTCACTGCATTAACACAACCTTAACCTCAAAGACAGAGTCAAGAGTTTTTGACATGCCTGCGACAATGTACAGTATTATTAGAAGATATACATGTAAAATGTGACTCCTAACAACTGTGCAAGGCCTGGTAGACCACCAAAACTTCAGATGAACAGTGCTTAAAGCTTTCATCCACAGGTGCTTCTATCCATCCCTCCACTGTGAGATGTACAATGGACTGGCCATCCCAGAGCCAAGTGCTCAACATCAGTGAATGTGTTTGGGTTTATTTGGATCATGAGAAGCAGAAAATGCAACCAACTTCTAAAACTGAACTTTGAAGGTCTGGAAGAAAACACTGCAGATTTCTTGAAAGCAAATCTCCTGAAAAGAATGGAAGATGTAATGAAGCCAAAAGATAGACACACTAAATTCTGAATAAATTATATTGTATTCAATTGTTGAGGCCTCTGGGTAACTTTATGTTAAATAAATGTTTTTTGCTTTTTTTTCCCTGACACTAAAGGTGAATTACATTTGAGGGGGAAATGGGATAAATAAAAGGTGGTCTGTGACTTATGCACAGTACTATAATTAAACTTTGTCATGTTTGTCACTATGATTTGACTGTAGAAACAGTCAGAGTCAATGAAAAAATGTTGTTGTGAACAAGATATCTTTCCCTGGCTTTACTCTTTGTACAGGCTGTTGGTCTCTGCTGCATCTTTATCTTTGATACAGATGCTACACATTTGTTGTTGATTTCTATAACCTGTAATGTTCCTTTCTTTTTGCCTCCTCAGTACTGGGTGGACTATTACCTGCAGTGGAACATGACTGACTATCCTGGTGTGACCAATGTGAGGTTTCCTGATAATCAAATCTGGAGGCCAGATATTCTGCTCTACAACAGGTACAGCAGCACAGCATCTGCTCCATAATCAAGCTTAACCCATGCAAGATCAGATAAAAAAACAGCATAAGAAGGGAAGAATCCTAAACATGCTTTTTTTATGTAAATACACTCTCAAGCTGACCAATGAGGATACCTGTAGTGTCATCAGTGTTACAGTTAAATTGATTCAAATTAAGATTAAAAATTACTCAGTAGATGTTCAGTTCTCCGAAAGCTTCTCAGACTGCTGCAGCCTCCTTTAATTGTGCTCATTTTAATAAGTCGTAGAATTGGAATGATCTGGTCTCCATTTATCCTTTTTTAAAGAACTGGGTCATTTCTATTACAACCTTTTTATGTTTACTATCGCCCAAAGGGTGCAGCAAGAAATTACTTTGAAATTGAAATTGGAAAATGCATAAATCTTTATTGTATTCCTGTCTATTGGTTTCCATTTTAAAGGAATAGCTAATGATAGGTTGGATCCATAGGCGTGCCAAAAGGTATTGATGAAAGTGGTTTATGGTAAGGTTTTAGGTTTAGAAGCAAGATGCTCTAATTAGATTGCAGTTCTCTTAATTATATTCTAGTTTATGGCTGTTTTACCATCTGTACGTTTTTACACAGTATTTCCCGTTGACCTGCTCTGCCCTACTCAGGCTGTCTGCGGTCTTTGAAAATGAATAAACAGGACTGCTGTGGCCTGCGTCAGATGATTATGCCTTTCCATTTTATTTTTTATATCTGTCAGAAATGTGGAAAGTTAGATGGAGGGATGATAACACAGACGAACAGAGGAAGGCATCGGAGGTGGATTTGTGCTTCTCCTCTGCTTGTTTTCCTTACTTGGTATTTGTCCCTGCGTGCGTATGTATTTTATTTGTGTCGAAACGGCTGATGCTGCTCTTTCTGCTTCTGCTCTGAGGCACGTAGATGCGGCAAGCTCCTGCTGTTGCATCATGACTTCAGTGAAGGACTTGTGTCTGCTGTATCTGCTTTGTGATGCTCTAGACAGTAATGATTTAACCTGCAGTCTCAGAGTCTGAGCCAGATAAGTGGATCAACGGCATCAGAAAACTTTATGACCCTGTTTGCCAAACTGAGGCAGCAAGGTTAGATTTTTGTGTTTGCCAAGTACTAACTCTGATTCTCCTGTGTTTTTTCACAGTGCTGATGAGAGGTTTGATGCTACTTTCCATACCAATGTGCTGGTCAACTCATCAGGTTACTGCCAGTATCTACCACCAGGTAAGCTGCTGATGACTTCTCACAAATGTCACTGATGTTAACTGACGTTACTGGACCTTATTCGTCAGTTTTGTTGAAAGAGTGCAGATTTGACCTCTCTGAATGACATGAACACCTGATGAATCAGCTTCTGTGCATGGAAGCAAGCACCCACACACCAGTGACCAGTAACACTCAAAGACATGCATAAATGGTTCTTCACTTTGATAGAAAAAAAACAGTTGTATATAATTATTTAACAAAACCTTTAATAAATGGTTCTGTAAAGCACTAAAAAAGGTTCCACTATTGCTATATGCCAAAGAACCCTTTTTCAGTACTATGTAGAACCTTTATTGCTAAGGGTGTATGAGATAGCTTACCTAGTGCATTAGAAGCTATGTTTTGTTTTTTTGGGTGGTAGTTACTGTAGTACCACAAAAGCACAGTGCAATATGTTTTTAAAAGCAATTGTCACTGTCCAAGGAAAAACCTCTATTTTTGTTGCTCATTTGAACATGGCAGATGTCCTCTACATTGTATGAAACTTTCATGATGGACCAGTAGAAATGCTCCTAAATCTCTTTAAGTTACATTAAAAGTTAAGAATCTTTTTGCCCTCTCTTGTAAAATTTTATTTTGGAAATGCATGCTTTATGTTTTTCTTTGGACAGCAGCGATATGAAGAGTTTAATTCCAAAATGCTGTATATCCTTTTTTAACAATTTTGGACGGAATGGGTTGACGTTTAATAGATAACACATTGTTTCTTTAATAAAGGTGATATTAATGATAGCATTGATATTTCACGTATGTGTAGAGCCCATTCCCAACAACATGTATCATAAAAAAATCTTGAAAGTAGTCTATAATGCTTTTTGGAACAAAACCCATTTATGTAGGCACAGCATTTGTTTGTATCAGTATGCATGTAAAAAATAAGTATTTGTTTATCCATCTGTCTGATGGAATAGACATTTGGGTTCTATAGATTTGGTGGAATAACCTAATACAAAATACAGTACAATACAAAAATATGCAAAATACAAAATGCTATTCAAAATTACTCATAACCTATTTTCCATGAGTTTAAATGAGTGAAAATGAATGAAGTGTATGAAGCAATCTTAGCAAGTACTGAAATTGTGCATGGACTTAAATTATAAAAAGGACCATGGACTTCAGCATTGGAAATACAAGACATTTTGGACTAAAAATGATGTCCTCTTACCTGCCAATAACCAATATAGTCAGTAAATTGCACCTGTGCAAGGACCAGTATCAAACAGTAGTACTGGTGCACCCTTAACATTTCTTTCCTTTCCCAGACATCCTCTGTTAATCTGTGCTCGTCTTTTTGGATTAATGTCTTTCTATACTTATTCAAGTTAATCTGTCCTAATTCATTCATACACACAACGGGAAAGATGTGCCTCTGATAATCAGAATGCAGCCTCAGGTTCCAGGTAATAGGGTAGCCTGGTCCCTAAACACCAGAGAGCTGATCTGAACCCTCTATTAAAAGAGCAGTAGCACTGCTTATAGTCACTTCAGCTGCTCTCATTGTGCATGGAGTGGTTAAAAGTGTGAAGTGTCTGCTTTGAGAGTATTTATATAATTGTTATGTTTACATAAAGAAATTCTTTGCAAACAATGGTTGCCTAAAGTCGTAGATTAATAGTCGTATGGATGCTGGGTAGCTTCCCTGGCGATGTCTTGCCAGGCCCTGTAATGCAGTCATTGTCAGTTCCCGCATGTTCCAGGGACTTTTTTGCATTCAGTCTAATTGGCATAATTTTCTTTTTAATTGACCTGCCATGTTTGGAATATGAACTTTGCTGATGAGTCATTTCTGTTGCTATACTCACCAGGGCCTTGTTGTTTTCTGTATACTAAACAGTTCGTATGCTTTATATATTTTCTGCCTTATCAGAGACTGATTTGTCCTGACAATGATACATTGATTGATACAGCTGCAGAAGATTCCACAGGCAAATGCCAAATCTAGAGTCAACTCTAGACCTTTTGTCACAGCTGGCCAAGAAACAGCTGGGAAGCCTGTCCAATTACTTATGGAAGGACTGTGTACAAAAATGTCTGCATTTATTACATGGTATCTGTCCGGAATGAACATACATACCCTCACATTAAAGCTCCAGGTCTTCACTTTAACTTTGTAGTCCAGTTGTTTCTTCTTCATGTTGATGTAATAGCTAGCAATAATAACTTAAGGCAGTTACTGTACAAAAACTTATTCTTTGCCAGCGTCATACAAATCCAGTGTAATGCAGTGCAAAGTGTGAAATGTTTTGCTGCATAGATCTTGGAGGTGTATTGCATTACTTGCACTTGTAAATTATTAATCAGCCACACAATTTTACTCAGTGAAGTGCAAATCAGTGTGTACTTAGACATGACTAAACAGTGCTGTATGCTAATCAACCTTTCCAAACCTTAACATTCAAAATATGTTCTGCTTTGCGTTAATGTGTTCTGACATACTGGTATTTGAATGGTGGCTATGTGTTGATGCAGGGTATGCTAGATAAATACATGGTGTGAGTTCAGCTCAAGATGAAATTGTGGCTTATACACCTTTTCAGACTATTCTGGGTGTTTTTGGCTGTTGTAAATAAGTATGTTGAGTGTTTAACAAAGATGTACTCATCTGGCTTTGCTTTATTTGTTTAGTATGTTTCTATCATACAAACAATAACATTGCCAAGTATGACCTATATTATTTATCCAGTATGTAATGTGGTCACCACTCTAACATTAATCCAGTTTATGACCTTTAAGAATATCATTAAGATCTCAGAGTTATGGCCGGTCTGGGACAGAATCATTTAATTGGACACAGTTGTAATGTCAGTGTTGAACTCACTAGTGCTGACCTTGGATCAGTGCACACACGTTCTTAAGCAGAGATGTCAAAGTTCAATCCTACAAGGCCACAGTGCAGTGTTTTCACCATTTCTACACAATTGATTCAACCTATCAGATGTATGTCAAGCCCTTCACACTGTAAGCTTAGTTAGAGCAGTGAAACATTCAAATTGAACAGCGCTGTGGGTCTTCACAACATGAGTCTGACACCCCACTGAAGTGTATTGAGTAAATGTCAAGACATGCTTCACAACAGATTATGATTCAGAGGACTTAAGTGCCGTGTAGGCCCTCCGGCTCAGCTCTTTTGCCGGTGTTGTCACTATGGTGCCCCCTGGGCTGCTTATCTCTACATTGCCGTAGAGGTTTTTACCTGTCACCTCTCAGCCCACCTTTACGCACTCATAAACACAATCACTGTGACCTCTATCCTCAGCTTTTTGCTGAGAGTGCTGCTACGAAAAAAAGTCCCATTGCAGACAGAAATCAATGTCTGCGCAAACGCCACCATTACTCCCTGACAGAAAGTGCTTCCATGAGGGAGGAGCATGACGGGATGCAGGCAAATGAGTAAGTGTTTGCGATAGACACTGAATACCCAGGGGTTATTGAGAAGGTTCTGGAAGCCCTTATTGCTTTGGGAAAGTAATGCCGGAGAGCAGGAATGGCTGGGCGGATGAGGGAAGGAGACGGGCCTGGAACATTTTGCAGCTGCTCAGTGATTGGGAACAAATTGGATTCATGGACATTTGTCTTCTGAGGGACACGCGCAGTTTAAATTAAAGAGCGTATTCACCGCAACCACCCTCCTCCAGCCTCAGCTCTCGCTCTCTGTTCTGCTTTATTCCTTCTCTCTTTCCTTCCATCCTTGCTGCTCTCATGACATCCGTATTTAGTAGAATTAAATTAAAATTTTAATTGTGTAGTGCAAACATTTAGACATTGTCCCAAAGCAGCTTTCCGAAAAAATGGAGGTCCAGAACCTCTGATGAGCCTAGTGTGACAGTGCCAGGAAAAACAAAAGCATTAGAAACGTGACAAGCCCATAAACAAGTCCTCTCTAGCAGAGTCAAGCAGCATCATTCCTGGAAGAAAACTCTGATGGTAGACTCCAAGTAAGGTTTCTCTTCACAGCAAGAGGGTGAAAGGCTTATTTAAGGGTTTAAAGTCGTCAAGCAGGTCCTGGACATAAATACAACAGGGTCTCTCTCTCATACATTTTGTTGTTGTTGTTGTTGTTGTTGTTGTTTTAACATTTTAACCTTAATGATTTTGATGTGAACTGTTTTAACTGACCCCTCTTCACCTGTTCGGTACAGGAATCTTTAAGAGCACCTGCTACATAGACGTTCGCTGGTTCCCCTTTGATGTGCAGCGGTGTGATCTCAAGTTTGGTTCATGGACGTATGGTGGATGGTCTCTGGATCTGCAAATGCTGGAAGCAGATGTCACAGGATACATTGCCAATGGAGAGTGGGACCTAGTGGGTAGGTGCAGTAAAGTTAGAACAACATCTAGAATAAACAATAATAAATACATTCTGATGTCTGTCATTTACATCTCTTGAAGACAGACCAGTATTTGTAGTAGTTTTAGCTAATCAATACTTCAGTAATTAAATTAGGTGTACTGGTTGTGGAATTAAGCAAATCCATGCAATGGCTGAGGTGCATCAAGGAGAAGAGGAACCGAACCTGTGTCCTTCTAATCATCTCAATTTTATTGATTAGCCTAAGACTTTTGCACAGAACTGTACATAACTGACAACTGAGTCCACATACACTGTAGTATGACCCTGCAGGATGCTGATACATTTGCCAAAGCTAGATATACTGACTCCACTGCACATCTGAAACAGCCACACTGCTGTTTCTGCTCTGTCTAAAGGGGTTGAACCTCTAATCAGCTGTTTGTATGATATGTAATTATGCAGTATCCCCTGATGCACAAGTGACATTTTTCTTCCCTGAATTTTTGATTAGGGACAGAATTGTGGGTATTGTTTGGAATAAACATGCAGAATATTATTTGTAGATTGGGGCCATTAGCTGTGGAAGCCATCTCTGTAGATTTGTGGCAAATTGCAAAATAATTAACCGTTCTTATTGGCAGATGGAGATGGAGTTCTTTTCTAATTTGAATTTGTCCAGATTACATATTTTCGTTAATGCAAGGGTTGTTGTCACAGACAAAACTGTTCACATAGTGGATTTGGAAGGTATGAAAGCAGTGGAAAACAGCATTGCTTCTTTCAGCAACTCTCTTGGTAGCCAGTGGATTTTACTTATGTCTTGTTTATTGGCTATGAAACCAAAGATTAACACTACTGCAGAATATAATAGTTTAGAAGCACTGTATATTTTAATGTTGTTGCCCTAGTTGATAAAGAACACTTCTTCAGGGTAAGCTGTACATTTCTGATGTATTGAGGCTATGCTGAAGAGATTATAGCAGTATAGAGATCACCAGCAAATGCTGAGAATATGGGGTGGCTACTCTAATGTGTGTGTGAGGGAATGAGGAGTCAGATCCTGTCACATGTTCCTGCAAGAGATTAAGTATCTTTCATGGTTCAGGGAAAATTAGAGACATTTTGAAGAATCACCCTTACTTCTGACCTTGGATCAGTGTTTTTTGTGTTAATGACTAGGGTCACAAATCAGTGAGGGTGAGAGGAAGGGAGAAGAAACACAAGCCTTTAGTCAATGGGCCATAGAACACCTACATAATTGAAAATCATGTGAAGATACAGGCATCCACTTGAGAAAATTGGATAATTCCTCTTGTACTAGTCCTTGTGAAGGTTAAGCCTGTTCTTTGATGAATTTTGCTGAGTGTGCAAGGAATATTTCTATGAGTGCTCAAAACTATTTTTCAGTGCAGTCAGACAGCATGAGTGCAGTTGTGACGGAGTGTGTCTAAGCTTAGAGCCTTTATAATTACAGTACCAATTCATTTTAGGATCCTGTAGTGTGTTAGTACAATAGAGAAAATGTATGCAAACTCTTTAGAAATATGTGACTTTTTATAGACAAATTGTTCCTAAAAAAATCATAAGTCATTTGCCAATTGACCGCAAAAGGTAATATGGCCTAATATGGACCTGAAAAGTAACATTGCTGAACGCGATGAGACTGGAAAGAACTTCAAGACTCCACAGTTTGGTAGATTTACAAATAAAAGAAATGCAGCACCATCGCTGCTCTCCCTAGGAGTGGGCATCCTACAAAGAACAGTGCAGTGGCTCATTGTAGAATCCTCAAACAAGTGCCAAGGAACACTAGCGTTCCACGGTAAAAATTGACAGGCATCGTTTTGCACTTAATAATAGCTGTGTTTATGAACCTGCAGGAAAAAAAAATATTCTTACCAGATCCTTATCTCTGCCATGAAGCATGGTGGAGGGAGTGTAACCTTGTGGAGCTCTTTACTGGACACCTTGCGGTCACTGAGGAACCAATACATTTTCAAATTTTATTCAGGAAATTTTATTGCGGGATACCAGGTTGTCTGTGATCCTAAATACACAGGAGGCTGGGTCATGTAACATGATTCAAAACACAAGAATAATTACCACATTCCATGTTTTGGTCTATGATTATTATTACATAGTTTGTTCCCCCAAATATAATTCCAGTTAATACAGGTAACTGACCCATAAAATCTACTTGTAACTGCACTTAGAGCGGCATGACTCTAGATTGCTCTCTCATTCGCTCTTTAATGGTCCAGGGTCACATCAGGAACCAGTAACGTACGTGAAAGCATAAACAGAGAGAGATCTACATCTGAAGCCATCCTAAACACATCATAAAGTATATCCATCTGTCCCATCTTGCAAAACCTTAAAATTCACATTCAGTTATTCACAACACAGTACCATATGATAGCATAATACTGTATGCATATCTCTACTTGCTCCAAAAGGCCTAATTACAAAAACATTTATCCTAAATACCCTGCTGATTCAGCAGTATAACTAACTCTGGAATGAAGGTCTGCTTGAACATATTGGATCATTTATCTATAATTGTGGGATAGGAATGTTTTTGTTAAATGAAAGAGTCCTAACAATTTGTGCAGCCTTCTGCTTGTACATGGTTGGTCACATTCTTCTATGGTCTCTATCCTGTCTTGTGGGATTATAGACCCCAAATGTGTTCCACGAATGTACTTCACTGTGTGCTATCTGTGCTTTATTGGGGTTGCGTTTCAGACCTCTGTTACTCAGATTCTCTATGTTACCAGCTACGCTTTTTGAACACCAGCAGATTTTCAGTGAAGCCAACTATAACATATGCCAATTTTGCCTTTTATGGAAAAGCAAAGCTTTATTTCTTCACTGGTCTCTTTTCTCCGTTCCTGTATTTATTCAAACAGTCAACCTCCTCCACAGCCTTCCTACATGAGCTGTGACCAAACTGACTTAACACTGGAAATTTGGTCTCATCTATTGTAAATCAAAACGTGATTGGTTGGTTCCACTATAACTGCTTAATTATGTTGGTAGTTAATTTTCCGTGTGCCATCTGTCCAGCATCTGAAGGCCTAACTGATGGGAGAGCTAGAGGAGATACTACAGGAAGAAAATCTTGATTGAATAGATTTCTGTTATGCATTTCTAGATCTTACCCCTGAAATAAGAGTATTACTGCAACACTTACAGAGGTTAAATACCACAAACATTATTATTCTGTTAAATAAAAACTGAACAAAAAATTACAGATGTATTTTTTAGTTCCCAGAAATCATTAAACCTTCTCTTAAGGCCTAAAAGGTCTTATTTATGCAGGAGCTGTGCAGATCATTTCAAAGAGCACATAGCCTGCTTTTCATAACCGTGTGTGAAGGACAGAGTATGGCTGCTATTTTGCTGATACTTTACTGTGTTGATTGCAAAGATACCTGCCAATTAAACAAGCACTTATTTCACTGAATCCTGAATAGTTGCATTATTTGTGTGTATGTGTCTTAGAGGTTCCTGGCCGGCGGAATGAGAGGTTTTACGACTGCTGTAAGGAGCCGTATCCTGATGTTACCTTCACAGTGGTGATGAGAAGGAGAACGCTGTACTACGGGCTAAACCTCCTCATCCCCTGTGTGCTCATCTCCACCCTCGCACTGCTGGTGTTCCTGCTGCCCGCTGACTCAGGAGAAAAGATTTCACTGGGTAACGCACACACACATATGCAAAATGATACTTTCTCTCTCTCCGTCTTTCTCTCTCCCTCTCTCTCTCTCCTCACTTATCACGTTGCAGTGCTTCCTAGTGCCTAAACATCACCAACAAAGCACCTTTCTGAAACAATTCTCGCTATGTTCAGGGAAATCTGAACTAATCAAACATGTTCTCTGTATATAAATGGTTTAGTTTGACATAAAGAAGCAGTTTAAACTTCATAAGAAATGTTAACATGTGAAAATTGTTAATTTCCAAGACATTTTGTGTCATGGAATGGTACTAATTTTTCCAAAATCCAGGACTATTCAGGAGAATCTTGGACTGATGGCAACCTTACTATAAACCCTTCCAAAATCACATTGCAAAGATGCACGTACATTTTGGCAGTGGAAGTGGAACATTCAGTCATTGACCTGATCGGGGGAACCAATCTAGAACTTCTCTGGTGTTATGTGATAAAAATGGAGTCTTGTGTATGCGGTTGTTCAAGTTGTTTTTCGCCTGGTAAGAAAAGAATATGATCCAAGTGGAATTGTGTAAAACATCCACTCTTTGCAGGGTGAATATCTGTGCACAACTTTACACACAATGCCCAGACATTATTGTGACCATCACCTGTGAATTTATGTCAGTAGTTTATCATTGGTCTGTAGCTCTTTTTAAAAATCACTTGATATTCTCTCCAACTTTATCCTGTCCTCTCTAGAATATGCTGATAGCTCAGCAGATAACCTAGCCAACAGGGTAAAAGGCTAACTGGCTCCAGAGACAGGTATTCAGTTAAAATATTTACTGAAATAGTCACTATAAATCTGCAGAATTTTCCCATCAAATATGAACATAAACCTGTTAGCTTGGTGCTAGCATAATTGGAAAACCTTATAGAGAAATTAGCATCATTGTAGTGGTTTTTACAAGGTTTTTACCATGAAACATTGCTGTGTACTGACGTGCATCTGACGTGGGTATGATTTAATGACTGTCTGGTTCTCAGTGTAAACAAAATTATGACGTTCATGTGTGAGGATGGGAATATCCCCTGTTTTTTCAGTACAGCAGTTTTGGTGTGCTGCCAGGCTTTCAGGCCTTTTTTAATCTTTTGGTAAAGGTCGTAGATCATATTAGCGCACTGTTTTTTAAGGAAACCACTGCATCTAATCTTTTTACAGGAACATAACTGCATAACTGTCTAACACAAACTGTGCACAGGTAGTAAGAGGGAATGAGAGAAGGCAACAGTGTAAAAGAAGAGGCTTCAACAGAGCTACTAGGGAACATAAGGGAATATATTATTTTCCCTGTCTACTATTCTGTATAGATCTGGGAGAAATTCAGTTGTTGATAAGGTGATTTTGCTGATATAACTAAAACCACATTGATAACTAAGTTGACTTGCGCTGCCACTTAGCTGAGATTCCACTAACATTATGAGACTGAAAGATTTCATTGAATCTTAAAACCCATGTATGATCATCATTCCATAGAAACTTTGAAAAGGTAAAAGCAAAATGTTTTTGACTCACATACACAGAATGTCTTGTCATTCTGTCCTTTATTAATTGATTTAGTGGTAAAGAATTGACAACACTGTGCATCAGTGACACTAAATGCCACTTCCCTTTAGCTACTTCCACTGCTTCACTAAGACCATGTGCCAAGATCATCAGATGAAAAATATTGCTGTATGTTTTACTTATAATGCAGATCTTTCAGTTACTAAATAAGAAGTGGTAATAAATTAGAATGTGTGTGGGGTTTCATGCTGTTTTTGGGAATGTGAGTTTTATTATATCAGTGTTTCTCTATTCAGTCCTCAGGGAACCCCAGCCAGTCCACAGTTTTTTTTTCTCGTTCCAGTTCCTAACACATCTGAGCCAGACACAGTCTTTGAATACCTGGCTCAGGTGTGTTTGGAGCTAGAACAAAAATAGAACCACAGTGTGGACTGGGTGGAGTCTCTGAGGACTGGACAGAGAACATCTGGCTGACATTACTTGAACTCATTTTTGGGACAAATAGTCATTATTTCACCAGAGCAAATACAGTTATATGCAAATGTTTGAACACCACAGGTCAAATTACATGCTTTGTTGATTTTAGAAGTCAAAATAATTTAATTAAAATACAGTATTTTTTCTGCAAAATTCTGTGCACAATTTCTAGTTATTTGCTGAGTTTGTTTTTTTTTGTTTTCAATATGTTAAATTCAGCAAATAAACATTAATTGTATATTCAAATTTGCAGAAATGTGTGTGTGTGTGTAGAGGATGTATTAAATTATTTTCGCTTTGAAAATCAGCAAAACTGACCTGGGGCAGCCATACTTTTACATATATCATTCACGAGTCAGAAGTAGAACACTGTATAAGAACATTGATCACTTTTTGTTCCTGTTTTTTCAACATTCCATCTTGTATGATTGTGTGTCTACACACAGGTGGCAAGGAGAAGCATTCTGATTATTGAAAATGGAAACATCTAAAATTTCAGTCAAAATATAAATAATGTGAAACAGTGTTCAGTTTATTTTCTAAATTCAGTGTTGAAAAATCTTTCTAGATTTCTTTTTTGTCTTTAAAGGAGCCACAGTCTGTGATTGTAAATGGAAAAATGGCTGTGTGAAAGTAAGTGCATTAGCATGTTCTCAAAATTTGTCTGATAAGGATGTGATAAAGGCACGTATATCTGCTACTAAGGATAAGACTGAGTCGTAACAAGCCTGTCTTGCTGTAAGAGAGTGTCTGTTGTGTACGATAAGGGAAATTAAAGGTGTAGTGGGTCGGAAAGCTCCCTAAATGACAAATAACTGTTACTACAGTCACAGTCTGACATTTAAAAAGCTGCTTTAGAACAAGAGCTGCAGGGATAAACCTGGATAAATGCCAGTTTGATGCAATCTCTTGCAAGGGGAATTCCATGTTTTTTTTTGTTTTTTTTTTTGTTGTTTTTTAATTTGGACACAGTTTGATCATTAAGATGTAAACAAACTCATTCAGAGTGGTTTGAAGTGAAATGCTCTAATCTGAAGAAACTTACAGAGTCAGAATTGTTCACAGTGGTGATAATGGGAAGTTTTAATGCCTCAAAAATCTCCCCCACAGAAAGCTATTACATGAAATGGTTATGAATATGGTGCCTGCTGCCTGAAACGTTACTTGGTGACAGTTTTGAGAAGATTTTGGCCTACAACACATTTTCAAACACATTCATAGTGTAGAGATACATACAGGACGTTCTGAGGCAAATTCATCCCTAAAGAAAACACATTTTTTCAGATTTTCCATTATTTTAACATCTTCAACATTACATATAAAACTCAGAAGACGTGTAGATCCACTGGCAGTTTTGGATAGTAAATAAAATGGCTGTGTTTGTGTTGTAGACATCCAGGAAGGGAGGAAAACAATATCATGCGTGTAAATATTTGTGATGGTACTACTTTGAGAATAATGCTAAACCCCACAAATTTTACCCCCTTGTGGTGATGTCAGCGCATATCAGTACTTGGGCCTCTCTAGCTCTTTAAACCACCTTTGGGCCAAAAGAGTTTTAATATGAGCCTTTAACAATATATTCAAAAAGAAAACTCACAAATCATTATTTAAAAGGGAATTCCACCAATTTTCCAACTCTTTCAGAGTGTTTTGATTTAAAATGGTTAATTGTAGAGAAACTTACTGACTCTGAATTCTGTACAGTGGTGGTGATAGGAACCGGAGGTCACGATATTTACAATTCAAAAAAGCCATTTTATTTACCACCCAAAACCATCAGTCAACCTACAAATGCCTTATGAGTTTTTATGTGTCATTTTGATAATAGTGAAATAGTTTTCCTTGGGGACTGTTTTACCTTACATCTCCCTGCCATGAATGGGTTTAAAAATATTTGTTAGTCCTAAACTTTGTCATAAAACCATCATAAAACAATGTGTCAGGCATCAGGCAGAGTATTCATAATCATTTCATCTAACTTTCTATGAGGGAGCTTTCAGAGGCATTGAGCTCTTTAGACCCCTGGTAAGTCAGTAAGTTTCTCTACAGTGAACATTTCGTATTAAACCACTCTGAATGACTGAATGTGTGTATTTAAGTTGAATCTACTCACACATCTTGTGTGTTGTGAAGTATATATGACTTGCTTCCACGATGTCGAGAGGAATTTGGTCTGTTCCTTCTGGCACTTCTCTACAGGCTGTGTGTGTCTGCTCACCTCAGCAGACCTATGTCCCCTGAGCAAGTCACACACAGCTCAGCCTGCTTTACCCTGTAATGCTCTAGGGACTGTCTGTGCCTCATTTGTGCTGATCCATGTCCAAACATCTACAGAAGGGACTACTAGTCATTCACTGTGTTATAATGATTTCATCTTTGGTTTTTACGAGCACTGTAGAACTAGTACCACCTCTCTGCAAGCTGTTCTGATAGTTTCATATGTAGAGTGTCATGGTGACATCAATTTTATATCATGACATTGTTATTCTGATAAGGTTCAAATTTGAGCTGCCCACTCCATTACTCTGTCAAATAAATATATCAATAAAATTGTACCTTTTCAGTCATTCACCAGTGATTAGTTTGACATGGCAGTTTGCATGATGATAATACATATTCTCTTTTGAAAGTGAAGATAATGAAGTTGATTTATACAAATATGGCAGGGTCACCCGCACTAATACTTGATTATTATCTAATTGATTGAGTCTCATTATTCTCTATACATACTTTACATACTTTTGCCAACAAAGACGCTTAATGTTGGATCACAGTAAATGAGTGGAAAATGCGACTTGTTTGTGTTTGTATTATTCTTTTCTATTGGCTTCTCTGTATCTTTTGCTATGACTTAGGTGATGATCTGATCACATTTCAGGTCACATTTATAAAGACATCCAGATTATTGTTAAGGATTCCCAATCTTTCTAGGTTTACTCTATACACTAAAAACAGTCATTGTTTTTATAAGACCATTTTTCAGCATCTTTCTATCCCTGAAACAGGCTGTTACCATGGTTGACAGCACAAGTGTAACTGGGCAAAGCTGATAAGATTTGACAGCATCTCGCCCGTTCATGACCTGACGAAACCTACAGGCGAAACATTGTCAGTTCTTGTGAGCTTGCCAAGTTACATTTCTTTGTGTCAAACATGAGTAGTAAATCCTAGCAATGTTGATCCATAACTGTGGATTTCCTCTCCTTTTTGAATGTGACACAAACAGACCGCATCTCTTGGTCAGTCATTATAACCCTGAAAGAAGTGATTAAGATGCTTTTCTGCATTGCGTGCTTCACTGTGATTGCATTATGTGTGAATTCTGGGTGTTGTGGTGATGGAACTGATGGGGAATTTAATGGGGACAGATGTGGCAGGGTAAAGAGGGGGTTCAGCTGGTAAATCAGCAGTCAAGGAGGATCCCACAAAAGCTTTGTCTCTGTATGTGGGAAGACAGAGAGAAAGAGTAGGAAATGAAAATAGACATTACAAAGGGACAAATTCATTGTTTTTTATATAAGAGCAACAAGCTAGTATTGTCTGGCCAGGCAGTTGGAATTTGAAAAGGTTACAGCTTGGAAAGAAATATAGAATTTATATGAGTATTCAAACCCATGTGTGTATTCGTGTGTTCACTAGCATGGTATCTAGTAATAAGGACATCCAATGAGGTCCACATCAGTAGTTTCAGAGGTGTCATGAATCTCCAGACGCTAGATTAAATGTGGAAACAGGTAGAAACAACAGACTTTTAATGTATTTGTATGCTTTTTCAGTAATCAACTAGGAGGGAGAGGAAGGTACACTCCTGAAAAGGTGCCATAAAGGATTTTTTGAGAGATGCCATAGAAGCCCCTGTTTTGTTTCCCTGAAAACCATGTTTGAAAAAGAGATTTGTGTGTGTGAACCTTTTAAAGGCTTTACATGATTCACATTATATAAAGGTTCCTTGCCAGTTCTTTAAGGTTCTTTAAGCTTTGAAAAGTTTCATTACACCAAATCTCTTTTTACAAAATATCCTCTAAAGGACCATCCATCAAAAGATTCTTTAGGGAATCAAAATAGTTTTTTCTATGACATCTCACAAAGAAAACCAATGTGCAGATTGTAGCTGTCCAAAGCAAAACATGTATCTCAATGTCTGTTTTTTTCCTACATCGTTTGAACAAGGCAGTTGTCCTTTACATTGTTTGAGAATTTCATGATGAATGGACCAATAGAAAAGCTCCAAACCCACTTAGAAACCCACTTTTCCTTCTCCTGTAAAGTTGCCATTTTGGAGATTTTTTTTTCTTTGGACAGCGACACTATATATCATTCAACAAACACATTTCGAACTTTTAACTGACTTGGATTTTAGACTAAAGTCCCTTTGCTTTTAATATCCTTATACCTGAATTATGTTTATTGTATTAAAACAAATGATTAAATATTACATTTTGTCAAAATAATCCTAACAATACTGAAACTTTACCAAATGAATAGTAACTGTTTTAATACTGACAGTTTTATCTGATTTTGAGCATAACTCAAAAACTCTAGCCAGTACTTGACTGGAAAATACAGCTTTGTACACACATAAAATCAAAATATTTTTATTAAAACAGAAAAAAGTTGACTTAATTTCAGGAAATGTGTGTTTCAGTCTTGACAGTTCTTAATTTTACATGCTGATTTTTAGGCTTTTGGACACATTTACTTCAAAACAATCTAACTGCTCATCATGTGGCCATGAGGGACAGGGATGCAGTCTCACTTCCTGCTCTAAAATGCAGGGGTGTGGCTAAACTAGGGCTCCACCCATGGACCACAGATCTGTGTTTTGGTAGTGACATTAAACGTGGGAAAGAGTTTTTTGAATAAAGTTTTTTTAACAAATTAAACTCATGATAAATCTAAATCCTTCAACTTTGCTTTAAATTAACAGATGGAAATGAATGAAGGAAAAGAAAAGGTACATGAACATTACGGATGAGTAAAAAGGCGAGTAACAAAGTGGTAAAAACATAAAGCAGATAAGAGACTTGCAGTTTATGTAGTACTCATAGTCTGCAGTTTATGCACATCTCATTTCTGCAGAATGGACCTCACTAAATGTGGCTCGGGTTATGGCCCTGAACGTGAGGGCTATGTTAGGTGTTTTTTAGGGAAGTCATTTTCACAGTTCAAGTGAGTGTTTGAAATTCAAAATTGCTTTAAAAAGCTACTGTAAGATTAGTCCTGCATCTCACAGATTGCCTGGAGTACAGATTAATCTCATCAAAGTAGCAGATAAACACAGAAATTGCTTTGCAGAAATGGCTTTCAAATGAGCAACCACTGTCATGTTAATCACTGCTGTCATATTAAACCCTTCTAACCTTTTAAACCGTTTGAAAACGTCAGCTACTCTTTACATTGTGTTAACAATTAATGATGAATGGACTGATAGACATTGTCCAAAATCTCATTACATTAAAACAGAGTAAAGTTAAGAGCTTTTCTTCTGTCTTTTAAAACGTATACAAGATACAAAGCTTCGTAACGACAGTGGCGATGTTTCTGTGAGAGTTATTCATTTTAGTGCCTGCTAATGAGCTGAAATCATGTTGATCTAATCTGTGTTGATCACTTGGATTTGTAGAGGTTTATCGATCTACAGAGTTCATTACGGAATGTTTGGGCCGTGGGCAGTGAGTCATCTCTGTGGTTAGAGATAGAAGCAGGATTACTCCTCATATACAGTACTGTGCAAAACTCAGAGACCTTTATTTGTTGATTTTATACTCAAAACATGTCATTTATTCATTTTTTTAGTGTCAGGGAAAAAGCAGAGAACATGTATTTAACAAAAAATTGAAGCCTGAATGTAACAACCCTCTGGGCCGTCTGGTGCTGTCAGGAATCCAGCGAGTTTGGCTTTGCTGGGATGGGCTTTAACCACTAGTGGTTGGCTCACTTCAGTAGTGCTTTTAAATCACTAAAGGTGAAAAATCTCACCGCAACTGTTTGTTATGAACTGGTTGAAAAACAGACTGTAACACATACCAACTTAATATAATATTTTTTTCAGTATGTCATGTGTCTACCCTCTACCTTTATTACAGCTTCCATTCTTTTCATTCTTTCCATTCTTCCATTTTTTTCAATTCTTCCATCACAGTTTTTCTGAAGAAATCTACAGGGATATTTTTTTGGACCTCTAAAGTTCAGTCTTAGAAATTGGTTGTATTTTCTGCATCTCACAATCCAAATAATCCCAAACACACTCATGATGTTGAGGTCTGGACTCTGAGAACAGCAGCAGCTCATTGTTCAATTTGCACAATGTCTTCTTTTTTATATGTATATCTTTTCCTCAGTAATGTGTTTCTTTTTTTCTGATCTGAGGCAAAAGCGAAGCTTGTTTAAGATTAAAGCTTTAAGTTCTGTTTGTCTGATGGTGTCAATTTTGGTGGTCTACCAGGTCTTGCATGGTTCTTAGGAGTCCTCTGTATGTTTTCTCTGTATCTTTTACTCATTTTTTGAACTACATTTTTGGAAACTCTTGTATTTTCACTTATAGAAATGTCTCATATTTATGCTCAGAAATATTTCCTGTAAATAAATACCTGTTTATGGTGTTTCACTGGAAGGTAGATGAGTAGTAGTCTCTGTCTTTTCCACAGTTCTGTAGGGTCTGCTGACTTTAGTAGAACTTTATCTTGCATCTCCAAAAGCAGTTTCTACTGAAGCTCTAACACTGAGCTCTATTGGAGGAAACTAATGAGGTGTGATTCTGATGCTGCAGTGGCGTTGAAGTGCTGATGGGAGGAAAAGAAATGATTTATTGTGTAGAATTTTAAAAAGACTGGGTTTACTCACATATGCTTTCTGGAACATAAAGATAAATGAGACTGACTGCTTTTCACAGTTTTCCGATCATCTGTCTTCTCCTGTAGGAATCACTGTGCTGCTGTCACTGACTGTCTTTATGCTCCTGGTGGCTGAAATCATGCCAGCAACATCAGATTCAGTGCCTCTGATTGGTAAGTAAAGTTGTCCATCATGGTGATTGGGTATCAAGTCTCAGCAGGGTCAGTGCTGATTAGACAGTTTGAGGAGTTAATGTAAGTGACAGAGGAAGCTGATAAGGCAGAGAGGGGACAGCGAGCTCTTTAGTTGAAAAGCGAGGCTGCCTCTGACCTCATTTGTCAACTGCACTGCTATAGATCATCCTCAGCTGGGTTTCCTGAAGATGAACACAGTCAGTAAATCTGAGGAGAAGGAAGGGAACTGTACCTGAGACGTGATGAAATGAGCCAGGAGAAAGCATTTGGTCTCTTCTGCAGTTCAGATTAGGACCCTTTGCACTTTTTAATTATTACCACGATTCCCATGTCCATGAGCTCCCCAGTGTTCTAAGGATATTCAGTGATTACTTCTGAAGTTCAGTAGAAGGTTCAGCACCCAAAGTAGTACATTACAGTACATAGCAGTAGGTAAGTGAAAAATAAAATTTACACAGTTTTACCACAGATGTAGTGAATTAGCCAAGACATGTTTGCTGAGCAAAGTTTGCGTCTTTAGTTTTCCTGGAGCAAATAACCACCAATTAGCACTGGGGAAAACTGCCTGCCTAAATCAGCACACACGAACCATGTCAATCATTGAGGTAATATTAAATAGACTCGCTTATCGCTGCTGTCGGAACAAAACCTTGTTCTCTAAAATGATAACTTTACAGTAAAAGGAAAAAACCTACTTTACTTTTAATGTAAGTCAGTGGAACCAGACTTTTTTCCCCAAGTCATTTTGGCCTGTTTCTTTTGATCCATTCATCATGAAGTTTACACACAATGTAAAGCACAACAGGCATTTCTAAATTATGTCAAAAACTGAAAAACAACAAAACTGGAGATACAAGGTTTTGTTCCAACAGCAGTGATCTGTAGTTTCTGACACCAGCTAGGTTTATATCCATATAGTTTTGTGCAAATTTTGACATATCGATTAAAAAAGCTGATAGAAATGGCAAATACCAAATAAAATGGCCAATATTTTCACACTTGCTTAAGGTGGGACTTTTTTGCCCAAAAAAAGCAATATGTGATAACAAACACATTTGCTGAATAAATAGCATACATACAAATACAATAGCCCTGTGACTGATCAAGTATTTCTGTTTTTGTTCGTGTTTGTGCATCATTATCCTCCACTCCAGAGTCACCCAGCTCAAAGACCTCCTCTTCCTCTCAAACAGATGTGTCAGTCTACTATAGAACTAAACCATCCTCACCAAATATCTAAGCTATATATTTTGCCTCTAATCACAATCAGATCATTCATTCTTTTATGATTTCAGAAGTGCTAATGTGTGTGTGTGTTTGTGTGTTTCAGCTCAGTACTTTGCGACCACAATGGTAATTGTAGGGCTGTCAGTTATTGCTACAGTGCTCGTGTTACAGTACCACCACCATGACCCAGATGGTGGCAAGATGCCAAAGTGGGTAAGCAGTCTTCCTTTCTCTCATCTCCTCTCCTCACCTCTCTTTCTCTCTCATTTAGCTCCTGAAGGTTAAAGCATGTGGTCAGGTGGAGGGCAGGGTCTGTAGGCTCAGTCTGCTGGGATATAGTTGTGACTGGAATAAGAATGTGCTCTGGTTGTCGGGGTTATTTTGTGACCAGTGTCTCACATATCCCTGTAAAAATGGCGGTTAAATTGCTTAATATGAACCCCTCAGTGTATTGCATAACTTTTAGGCAATTGATGAAGTTATGTAAAAGGTACTAAGAATGCTTATGATTCAGTAAAATTGCTGTGTAATTGCCATTAGGCATTTTACCTGATTTGAGCTCATATAGCCTCGCAATTAACTATGCTGTACAAATTTGATTATTTAATGGGCTCACTTGCATGACTTTTCTCATCAGTTTGAAAAAGTTATTATATAAATGTAAAGTAGAAGATATGTGATTTGAGGTGGAAGTCACAGTTACACATTTGTGCAGATTTCAGTTCAAAATTCTGTTTTCGAGTTTTATTCGTGCCTGGTTATTAAGATGGGTCGCTTCAGTGTTGGTTCATGCTAACTGTAACTTCTTACGTAGCGGTCTTAGTTGTTTTGATTTGCAGGTATTTGTACTTGGTGCTGTGCAGCGTTTTGACGTATTGTAAAAGAAAGGAGGGAAACATATTCCAGTGTACAAATGTGTATAAATGAAAATATAATGTATCAACATAAAATTGCTGGTTGGTTAAGCCACTGTTTTATTGGTTTCTTATCAAGAAAAATAAAATCTCAGCTTTCATAAAATTCTAACAGTAAATATAGATTTAAGCTCTCAAACATACAATGCATTCACTACTTATTGAGGAAGCTATTTCAGTAGTTAGCTCATTTTGTTTTTAGAAGCTAGTGAGCTTTAAATTAGGTATCTTTCTCGCTCTCTCTCGTCCAATCAGTAAATTTTTACTTGTGAGATGAAGACATTTCACTGTACATGTGTGAGTGTGCACTATTCTGACTGTGTTAATACTACATTAAAGTTGAATAAGTGTTCTAAGTGTTCTTTTAAAATGAACTGCAAAATTTAGGGTGCTTTTTCTCAAAAACAAGGTTTAATGACTCTTAATGCATCAGTGAGAATTATCTCATCTTATATATGAGCACACAGATAACACTGCTATCAGCAGAAAGCTTGTTAAAAGCAGCTCAAAATGGTGGTCTAAATGACTCAAAATGATGAAGCAGGCCGCATATTTGTTTTGTCTGACCTTCTTTTTTCTGTTTTTCTGTTGTGTGCAGACTCGTGTGCTGCTGCTGAATTGGTGCGCATGGTTCCTGCGCATGCGGAGGCCAGGTGAGGAGCGTGTCCGCTCAGCCTGCCACAACAAGCAGCTGCGCAGGGGCAGCGTGTCCAGTGTGGAGCTGTCAGTCAGCCAGGGGGCGCTGCAGCCCAATAACAGCAACATGCTGTACATCGGCTTCAGGGGCATGGAGGGAGTCCACTACACCACCTCACCTGACTCGGGGGTGCTCTGCAGCCGCCTCATGGGAGCCAGCGAAGAGGATGTGCTGTTGCCAGGGGCAACGGTTTCATCATATCAAGGTGGGGTTGGAATGGGAGGCGGAGTCAATGGAAGTATCATAGGTGGGGCTTCTGAGACAGAATTAGCAAAGATTCTGGAGGAACTGAGGTACATCGCGAGGAGATTTCGGAACCAGGATGAAGACGAGAGCGTGTGTAATGAGTGGAAGTTTGCAGCGGCTGTTATTGACCGCCTCTGTCTTATGGCCTTCTCTATCTTCACCATCCTCTGCACTTTTGGTATTCTTATGTCTGCACCCAACTTTGTGGAAGCCATCTCGAAAGACTTCTTCAGTTAAAGCAGGAAGAGCCGTGAAGACTCTGATGTTATTTCTTACACAAGAGTAATTTCTGAAACATTCTTAAGGTCAGACCACACCAACCCAACATTCTCCAATCAACACTAATAATCCAGATTGACAGTTGTGTTAGAAGGTTTAGAATAAGAACCAAATGATCTAGAACAGCAGGCAAGGCTAGAAAATAATTACATGACTGTGCTGTGTTTTGGAAGATTTATACCTGAGTATTATTGAACTTGGTTACATTTTCATTTAGACCTTAAACGTTTTGTTACAGCTCTCAAGGGCCAGCAGATTTTCTCTTTTGCCAATCAGTTAAATTCCCACGCATTTGATTTTACTGTTATTATTAAAACCTCCAGCCAAATTAATATCAGTGTGAATGAAACTGCCAACAACCATGCTAATTTGTCTTTGTGCTAGTATTAGTACTTCCCATTAGTCATCACATCACACAACAAAGACATTTACAGTTAGTAGGAGTGGCAATATGGTGAAAATATAACATCACAGTTTCTCTTCTCTTCATTTTCATGATACACAATCTGTATCCCAGTAATTTGTTTTTCTGAGGTTTAAAAAATCAGAACAGACAAAAAATAGTAGTAGTGCCACATTTGAAAATACAAGTACAAATGATATTTATTCAGCTTTCTACATGCTGTGCTGCACTAAATCCAATTAAATAGACCTAATTATGCTCTCTTTGTAATGAAACATACGGTTGGTCAGTCTGGCAGGGCCAGACATAATCTTGTATTGAGAACGCACGTCTGGGGAGAAGTTATTGGTGCTGGATTGGTGAAATCTGCCTCAAACAACTGTATGCCCCTTCTAAAACCCAGCCCCAGATTCCTCTAGTCTGTGCTCTTTTTACATCACAATCAATAACACATGCAAAACAAGTTAGCTTGTGAAATAACATCCATGGGCTAACAACAGGCTTGTTGTATGCCAAAACAATGTTGAAAAAGGCACCAGCACTCCGTACTTTGAGCTCTGCCTTCACAAAGTGTTGGGTTGGTTAAGAAATTTCACGCTCGGTTCCCATCCTGTTTCCATTCCTACCCACATTTAGCTGACAATTTCTCATAGATGTCCACAGATGTTCTCATTATGAGATCACATCAGGCCCCACTAGACTGGCAGTTGGTCAGTGTTCTTTAAGTACTCATGATCGTGATTTATATGTGACTAGCGATAAATATTGCCATATTTCCCATGCCTACAATTGAGTATGTTTATAGTTTTTTACTCCCACTTAAGTTTATTTTTGACTCTATACTTTAACTTTTAATTGAGTAAGATTTTGACGCAGTACCCAAACTTTCACTCATGCGTATTGGTTTGTTGATGCTTGTTGGAGAGCGTTGGGTCTGTGTCCTCCAAGCTTTGAAGCCACACTGTCAAACGAAGTTGTAAACATTTACTGTTAAAATAGAAACAATCTTTGAAATAGTCAGTGCCACTGGGTTTGCACACAGGTTACACAGGTAAATGCAGGTTCACCAGTTACTCACTTACTCTGTTTTCACAGCAATACACACAATTTTTGGGATATCTCATTGTGAACTATGTACGATTAAGTGTACTCTCATTGTCCATTATTGGTATTACAGGTTGTTGGTGTTAGTGTACAGTGACTCTTGAAGTATTTTCTAGCTAGCATTTATCGCCATCTTGATCAACTTGAATCGTGTCTCCTAACAACAGCACAAAATGATTCGATGACTGTCGTGTTCTTGACTAAGCTGACTTGAATTTGAGTTGCACACCTACAAATTGCAATTCCTTAGTGTAAACAATCATCAACACAGTATGAATTTCACGCTCCGTGTTTAACATTTCAACCAGGTGATTATCACTGATTACACACACAGATCCAGTCAAGCAAAGAAGGAAAAAGAATTGGGTTTCAGCATCCCTGTCTGCTAAATGGAGCCCTGGTTTTCTTTCTTCTCTCCCTTCTTTGCTCTCCTTCCATGTTTGTGCATTTGTGTATTCCAGTTTTGTGAGCCCTTTACAAATAAATGTATTTTTCTAAATGTCAGATTTTATGTTTCTGAAGCCTTGCACTTTTCCAAAGCCCTAAGGTTATGCCTTTTCCACTATAGTCTATCCTTAAAGGGGCACTGTTATGGAAAACTGAATCATTCTTGTGTTTTTCGACTGTGTAAATATTTTTTAACATTTTAAAATGTATCTTTCACTCCCAGTACATACAGTTTATGTATGTGAATAAGCTGCAAGAACAGCCCATTTAAATTCATTGGTTGTCACGATGATGAAAATATTAATATACACGTTTTTTTTCCCAACGTCACAGGGAATTAGAATTTCCTTTCACATTTTGGCCTGGACTGCATTTTGAATGAAGCACAATACAGGGAAGCTAATCAGAACAGAGGTTATTTACATATCAGTATTTAAAGGCACACTAACAAAAACATCCGGCATCACTCTAAGAGATGGAGAGTTTGGAAAATGGTCAAGTAAAATGAATCATGAGGTCTCCCTGCTGCTGTAAACACACTGCACTGAGCGCAGTGCACATACTCATCACACACAGGCAAAGAATTGAAATCATCCTTGTAGCTTTTTAATGCATTACATCTGTAAAAGTGCACACGGGTGAATGAAAAACAGCCTTGAGGCAGAGAATCTTTTCTGAATATAAGATGCTTCACCTCAGTATCATTATAGATTTACTTTAAGAAGGTTATAATTAAATTCCTTCCTCAACGATAACCTTTAATAGTCTTTATGTCATGACATTTTATACTGTACATGAAACAGATATATAATATGTACTGAGGTACATCAGATGTTTGGGGCCACATTTCGTTCTTTTGAAATCTACATTTTCTCGCTATTACTTTTCAATTTGCGAGAGAATATACCTGCAAAGGTTTTGTTACCATAAGCTGCTTGCTTATATATTAGGTATATGCTGTAACACTCAGCTACACGTTCATCAAAGTGTTTCTCATAGTATAAAGAACAGGTTTTGTTTAAAGAGTAATTCCATTTTTTTTTTTTTAATTTTCTCAAGAATTAGTCATTCAGAGTGGTTTTGTTGTGTGGTTTGATGCTCCGCTCTAGAGAAATTTACAGAGGAGTCAGAATTGTTAAGTGTAGTTGTGACAGGACTCATTCTAAGTGTGATGCCTGCAACAGGTTTACCATAAAAATTTGGGACAAGAGCATGTTCACCACTGTGTTTACCACACATCACCTTTTCTTTTAACAACACCTAATGAATGTTTTGGAGACTGAAAACACAAATTGATCCAGTTTAGAAAGTGTAATTTTTTGCCGTTCTTCAGTTATATAAGTCTTTAGTGACTTGTGCAACAGCAGGTGGCCTTCATTGTTGTATTTTGCACCACACATTTACTATAGAAGACAGGCAGTTCAGTCTAGCACCTGCACTCTCTGATTATGCAGCCATGCTGTTGTAACATACGCTGAATATTTCTTGTATTGACATGTTGAAAGAAGCATGGACATCCCTGAAAAAGAGGCAGCATAGGCTTTTTCAGAACATATATATATGTGCTTTTACAGATCTGCAAGACACCCCTGTACCATGACAGACAACACGATGTCCATTATTTCAATAAACAGGCTGAGGTTGACTCATCCGACCACAATACGCAATTCCACTCTGCATCAGAGTGTTCCTGTTTCCGGATGTTGTTGATATATGGCTTCGGCTGTGAATAGTACAGTCTTTCATTCACACTGTTTTTTCGAAGTATTCCTGAAACCATGCAGTGATATCCAGCAAAGTAGCATGCTGGTTTTATGCAGTGCCATCTGAGGGGTTGAAGGTCACAGACATTCAGTTTACCCTTTAAACACATTCCCTGAATCTTTTGACAATGTTATGCATGGTAGAGAGTGAAATGTGTAAAAAAAACTTGCAAAATGCTCTCTAGGAATGTTGTTCTGAGACAGTTGAACTATTTTGTGATGCATTTTTCAGCAAAGTGTTGAGCCCCATTAAGCCTCAGATCCTCACTCATAAAGGACTCAACCTTTCCTGGACAATCATTTTATACCCAAGCATGATTGCATCACCTCTTTTAAATTGTTTTCTGAACATTTACTATGTTCCTTTTCTTAAATTGCCTCTGTCCAAGCTTTGTTGGAACGTGCTGCAGGCATCAATTTCAGAATGAGTGTATATTTACAAAAGCAGTGAAGTTGATCAGATAAAGCATTAAACAGAATTACCACAATTTTACCCTTAACAATATTACATATAAAAACTCATTCACACATACGTAACACATTCATAAGCACTGAACAACTTATTTATAAAGCAATATTTGAGTATGTATTGAGCATAAGCTGTTATGCTAGTAACTGCAAGATGATATGTTCTATGAAGTAAATGAGATTGCATTGACGTAAGGGACCTCAAACTAAAGTGAAGGACATTTGTTCCATTCATAACACTATTATTAAACATCATTCCCAAGTAATGGAACCTGGTCTAGTTTGGAAGTTTCTATCAGTCCTGCTCAGTTCTACATGAGTTAAAGTACACAACCATTATGTCAATACAATGTCATTTACTTCAGCTTATGGGTGATATTTCAATTTCTGCATAAGATATTCATAAATACTCAAGTGTTGCTTTATTAATACATTATTCAGTGCTTATGCATGCATTATGATGTCCTTATGTAGGTAGCTTTCAAACAAAGTGTTCCTGAAATTTGAGTCAGTAAGTTCCTCCACAAATAACTGTTTCATATCAAGCCACTCTGAAAAGTGAAGTGTCCCCAAACTACTGGCAGGCAATGTACATTTGGTGAGATTGTGCAAAGTAAAAAGCAGATGCACAAAAGAACCAGACTAAGGGTCCGGGGGTCATACAGATGGAACTTCTCAAAAGCAAGAGTGCTGCTTTTTGCTCAGCTTTCATTTCCTAATGAATGCTGTTATTTGGAAGGGGGAGCTTATCCTGGATCAGTGGTGTCAGCAGTCTCAGTCTGAGAGGTTTGATACATGTGGGCCATGCAGCAGGGACGGGGGTTTTGAATGGGGGGTCAGGATGGAGGATGGCCAGGGTTAAGAGCTTAGAAGAAGAGGAGAAATGCTGGCTCTGCACTGGACCTTCGCCCAGCTGGGCACAGTGATTTTCTTCTGCCTTCAAGCTGACCACTTTCTATTATGTGTCATGAATGCATTTCTCCTTATTGAAGTATTTAAAAATGTTTTCTATATTTTAGAAAAGAGAGTGACTGTAGAAAGATCTAAATAAAATAATAACAACTTAATGCTACACCAGTTTTAAACTAAAGAAGTTCTTCTACTGCAAACATTTTTACATAAACATAGGTTTCTTCTTTGAGCAAACTGAAAGGCCAAAAAAGGAACAGTGAAAGGCAGTGAGTAGACTATAGACAATTATGGAGGGACTGAGGCGAATTAGTGGCATAACAAGATATACAAAAGTGGTGCTCATTTTATGATACCCCCTATGAAACCTTGTTAAAATTCTGAGATCAATACTCATGGACCAAATTAGAGCACATACTAGAGTCTTCGCCCATTCATTACCATAGTTCAGTTTCAGACGCTTCAAGCCATAACATCAGAAAAGACCTCCTGGTACCTTTTTAACTTTTTTTATTACCTGCTTTTCCCAGCAGTTTTAATTAAAAGAGCTCTGATAGCCTGAGGCAGCTCAGCGCACTGGGGAGCTTCCCGTTATTCTAGAGAACCATGCTGCCCTCCAGTGGTGGATGAAGCTTTTAACCTAATGCAAACATTCAGGGTCTCAATGTACTAAAAGATCAAGATGAGTGCTAAAAGATAGATTTCTCAAGAGTTATGCAGGAAGAGGGAGTGGCCATTAATGTTAGTTAACCCCTTACATTTGCCATGGGCCCAAAATTTATTACATACTTCTATAACCTAGGAATAGCTCAACCCATTTGCACTGAAGTCCCTGTAGTTACTGAATAATCGACCATAGCATGTAATAAGCCTGGGATTTTAAGGGGTTAATCTTCTTCTGTGGTCTCATCTTGGTCATCTTCTGTTCTGCTGGATGAGCTCTGACTGTGCCCTGGTGTTCCTCCAGAAAACTTCACACTCTTCTTGGACCTCTGTGAATGAGAGAGACGATGTATTTATATTTACCTGCATGTCATGTGCAAGTTAAACCTATTTGTCCCTGTTTGTTTGCAAAGATTAGTATTCCATCCTAAGACTAGAGTTTAATATGCTATTTGTTGTGTTGTGCTGTATTCTGTGGCACAGCATTACGTCCCTCAGCCTCACTGCTGTGACCAAATTCACAATTTTATATGCTTTATGTGTTTTTGTCAATATTCTCTCACTACAACACCCAGCATGTGTTACACATATATGTCATTCAACCATAAGCAAAAAAGAAGTCCTGACTGCTAGCCTAGCTCCTGATCTAGATGCTAACAAATGTGATATTTGGCTTCCTAGCAGTAATCTGGCTTCCATCTGCATTAGCCAGTCAGCACTAAAAAGAACCCACCCTCAAGTATCCTCCTGAGCCCTTGTAGTCCCTCCCACCTTCAGTATACATCATTAAAAGGGGATTTTCCTTTCTTTAATCAGAAAATCTCACTCTAGAGACTCTTGTGGCACCAATGTAGGATGCAAGTAAGCATGACCACAACAGATATAGTGACTCAATTTTTAAAGAATGCATTAAAAAAATTCCAAATGTTTGATTTTCATACTGTTCATACTGTTTCCTCTAAACATAAAATAGACACAAAGCTAAAAACAGTTGTTGCAGCCATCCTGCAGCCTGGATCCTTCTGTACTTTTGTGTCTTTTATATAAATTGCACTGTGCATGTGTCATACAGTGTCAGAAACCATATAAGCAAGTCTATTTGAGATTGCTTAACAACAATGCTAATTAGCCATTATAAGCTTCCATTATGTATAAGCTACATTAGCCTTTCAGCTTCAAAGTAAAACTACAGAAAACTAAAACTACAGATGCAATCTTTGGACACAAAGCCTGCTTTTGGCTGATTGAATGCACTTTGGGAGGAAAATGATTTCAATCATATTATTAATTTGAGGTAAACTAATAAACAACACACAGTACATCTTCCAAATGTTTACCTGTTTATTGGCCACACCCCTTGGGTAGCGCGCTATATCATCTCGTCTTCTCTCCACTTTCTCCCAGTCCTCCTCCCACACCTCCCGCCTGTATTCTGATTCTCGTGCTGTGATTCGCTGATAGATCGCCAGGTTCTCACGGGTCACTTGTGCTAGCTCCTCCCTCCTCCTCTCAGCATTCAGACTAGAGGAGGAAAATTATTGTGAGCATTGATTTGAATAGCCGTTTGACTATATTATCCTATAAGCGTATTCCAGTGAAAGTATTATTAAAGCAAAGAAATAATGAAAGAACTGAGTGAAGAGTGATTTTTTCCTCACAAGTAGGCTGTACTTGAGGAAGTGTCTGGACCAAGCCTTCGACATGTGGTTGTAGTATTGTACAGGAAACATAAAGTAGATATGGAAAATTTAAAGGATGTTAGATTTAACTAAGTGGTGTAACTAGGATCTTCTGTTCCACAGTGCAAAAAAACAAATAAAATAAAATAATGAGCCCCACACAGGAAAATAAATAAAAAAAAATAGGAAAATTTGCTTGCTATTGTTTTGTCTAGCCATGCATATAAAATTGCAGAAGTAGATATTAGTTACAAGCCCCAGTGTGACTGGCCTGCACTGCCAGTAGTTAAGGCCCTGCTAAAAGTTTTATCATCTGAAAATACTTAATACTCAATATCACAATTACATTAATAATTTATATGTTAAATTGTCAAGGAGGAGACAAGGCTTGGCATGTAAGCACGGCTTTAACCAGAGAAGCCTTTCAGCGTCACCATGTTATTAGGCTGAACAGTGGAGTCAGCAGTGGGTAGTTTGAGCCTCCAATGACTGCCTTTTGAAAACTCTAATATACACAAAACAGAGAAACATTCACCATACGTTCCTCTTTGATTTTGGTTCAGGTTCAATTGGGACATTAATATTTGCTCAGCTGAAAGTTATATGATGCTGTTTTAGTTAATGAGTGGTTGGTGACACCTAATGACAGACAAAAGTAACTGTCAGTACAGGGCGGTGTATGGCAGATCATTATCTCAGCTGAGGCTAAGAGTATTAATTACACAGTCAGAAATGCCACTTGAGCCACAGTGCCTGGTGTAAGCTCACCTGTGCTCTGGATATTCATTCCTGTGGTCTACGAGACCTTTAGAGCGCTCTATCCCAGCCAGTCTGGACGCCAGCAGTAGGTTATCCCTGTCTATGATGGCCTGCCTTTCCTCTTGAACCTTAGAACCCAAACACAACAACACTGCATTGAGGAAATGATGAGTCACAACATTAAACACTAATCATATAATATATAATTATAACACTAATTAATTCACTCTTTTTAAAATAAAATAGTTTAATGTAGAATGTAAATATTGCTAAAGTTTTAAAATGTATCGGACCGTACAATACCCAAAGTAACATAAGCCACAAAAACCAATGCATTTACATCCACATCATCAACCTACAGCAGTTCAGCTCAGCTGAAGTTAGTGTGAAGGAGTGTTTCAGCCTGGACTGTGTTTTAAATGAGGCATAATACAGGATGCCAAACAGAGCTAATTTACATATGTCAGACACAGCAACAAAAACAGCTTGTTTAATTCTAAGGGATAAAGAGAGACTGAAATATGGTCATGTAAAAATTAATAATGACTAATAATGTTTTTGGTACATAAAACCACACAAATGTTGTAGATGGACCTCAAGGGGCAAAAATAAAAAACAAGAAAATATATTTTAACATATTTGAATGTATAAGTAGAACATTGAAGCCCAACTGTACTTTGTTCACTGTAAAATGTTCTTGACTGAATTAACTCTGACAGAAATATACCAAAGTACAGGTAAATCAACCACTGATCATTAGGCTAAATAAATATAATGTTGTATGTATGAGTTGTGGTTGCATTCCTGAAATATTACTGTAATAATTTATCAATTGTTAGTCAATGCAAAATAAAGAGTGTCAGTTTGCTTTCTATACTGAAAAGTACTGAAAATACATCTGTCTCACTTTCTGCATATATACCTGTGTTTTCTTCAGCTTCAGCTGGACATGAGTAGGTGTTCGGATGCCTTTGGTGTCCACTATGGGTTTGGCTTCTTTCACCTCATGAGAAAACAAAACCATTTCACACAAATCACAAACGCAGTGATAGTATTGCTGATCAGATTCCACAATTAGCTTCTGACACTTCAAATCCCACTGCAACAAAAACTGAGATTAGTACTGTCTGGGAGATGAGAATATTATAAATGTACTTAGAGCCACAATTACTATTCACACATGCTGGAGCCTGTGAGTCTTTAATAATCAGTGTTCCACATCATTACAGCAGCTGATATTACACTCCAACCTTAATATTTGTTCTCTGTGATTAAAGAGTCACACACACTCACCTTCTTGCGATGCGCCTCATAGTGTGTCTGGTCCCATTTCTTCTGCAGGTACTTATTAGTGGCGGGCTTGAGGGGCTGGTAGGCTTTATGCATGGCTGCTGCCCGGTGTTAGCAAATGGAAGATGTTCTGGAATTTAGCACATTAAAATAGTATCTTACTATCCTTTACACTCCTCTGGTATTGAAGATTTGAGCAGCTTTGAAGAATCTGGAGTGTCAGTTTTGCACGACTGCCACTTTAGTAGTATTCCAGAATGATGTGAAGTGTCCAGTGTGCAGTGTGTTGTGTGCTGGTGCCATTTAGAATGTGTCCCCACAGCCCACTCCACCTTGGTCAGCCCGGCTGGAGGCCGCAGCCTGTTGCCATGGCACCATTACTCACCTATCCCTCCGACTGGGCGTGCTGCTGAGAGGGGATTGAGTGTCAATGAATTATTAGTGTTCACAGCCCACTGGCTTCACTGGCCTAAATGACCCCAGAGCAGCTGAGCGGGGAAGGGCACAGGCACTGTAAAAGACGTTTTATATAACATATATTATTAACAGATTTCAAAGCCAGTAAGGTTTAGTATCTATACCTTCATGGTCAATTGTAAATGTGATTATATTGCTAAATGGTGGTATATTAATGTACCTGTGTAGCTGAAATATTGTAGTTCTAGTGCAACTCTGTTTTCAGGTGTCACCACAAGGAGGATGGGGTCCCTTTTAAGCCAGGGTCCTCTTAAGGTTTCTTCCTGTAAATGCAATATGTTGTGTTTTCCTTGCCTCACTGTCTTCTATGGCTTGTTCATTTGGGGCTGGGACATCACACTTCTCTGCTGTGTCAGCATGACCATTCAAGGCTTTGGAGGGTGTTGTTTGGTAGGCTGTTGTTTTGTGCTTTGTGCTTTTCCAGGGGCCAAGATGCCTGGAGTGTGTTCCCACTGAAGGTCACAGCTGGGGTGATAAGACTGCTGTGCTTAGTCTGGTGGATCAGAACTAGTGGTTCTCTGACACCGACTGTTCTGATTGAATGTTGTCTGATTATCTTTTATTTAGCATTTGGAAGCTTTATTTGAGTATTTTGAGTTTTGTTGTGTTTAAGAGAGGTGCTAGTTCTGGTTTTACACCAAAAATTATTAAATCATATACCTGACTCCTTCAGTTTACATGTAATTTGCATTAAAGTATAATCATTTTAGTAGTATTCCAGAATGATCTGATTTTGGACGTGGAGAGAGTGTGAAGAGAAGAGTTTGCAGCTGTTATTAGATTTTATGGTCTGCTCCACTCGTGGTTTTTATCTTCATTTGTTAGGAGACTTGTTTTTCTTCTTCTTTTAAATCAATTCTCTTTATTTTCACCTTTTCACTTTAAGCCAGTCTCTTTTAAGTGGTGAATTACCCAACACCCCTTACCCAAAATTTGCAGATTCAAATATTCAAGTGTCTAAAGTTTGCTAGTCCAAGTCTTATACTGGAGCTATGAGGCTAATGTGGCTAACAAGTAGCAAGCTTAGCATCATGCAAACTGCATGGCTAAATCATCACATTTATTTTAAAGCACAAGTTGTTAATGCTGCACTATGTATTGTTAAAACTGAAAGAAGGAGGAAAAGTTAGGAGGAAAAAAACACACTAAAATATAATGTGTGTGAGTTACCCAATAAAGTCTGAAATAATAATAATTTAAAACTCAAGGGGAGTTTTTTAGCTCACGTCATATGTATTGTCAAAAGCACAGGCTCAAAAAGAAGGTACGGCTCGATGTTTAGGTCTCTAAATCAGCATTATACTGATGAAGATATGATGACAATATTAGATTATTTAGTCTTATTTCCTCGAAAGACACGTCCTTCGCCAGGTTTTGACTGAGTTCTCTTCGAATACTCTCTTAACATATCAGATTTGAATACTCTTTCCACCAGAGTGGTCTCCAAATCCTAGAATCTTACATAGTGCAGCTTTAAGTAATTTCAAATAGACTTGCTTGTGTGGTTAAAGACCACCCAAAACACCTGATTCACTTCAAACACTACAAATTGGAGCTTTTTAACAGCTGCACTGAACTGTGCAATGTTTGGGTATAGACACCTATCAGATGGTTCAAATCAAATATGTAAAATGCCACTTTGCTTCTGTGAGTGGGACAATTCAATTATTTCATTTGATTTTTGCCTGCCATGCAGGGTTTGCTCCCCATGAACAGGGATAATGCCAAACACTACAGACAATAGCGCTGTTTCTTTTCCTGCCACCAGATGGCAAACTCCTCCCTCTCTTTGCTAGATGAATGGCGGCCATGTTTTGCAGTGCAGTTACGGAGAAGCGAGCCACTTCATGAGGTGAGAGGACATGACGAACACAGCAACATCAAAGGCAGAGCTAAGAGACTATTAAAGTGCCCTGGGCATGTTTGAGACTTCTGTTTGAGACGCTCCCTGTGCCTCTGTGGTGACTCTCTCAGTAGAACACAATTTACCTGGTAGTGTTAGTGAGATTTTGCCAACTCTTGGTGTGTCAACATGGCTTCATAGATGCTTATATAAATATTTAAACATCGAAAATTCTAGTATTCCTTGATTAACACAGACTTAATTATAGAATAGTTCCAAATAACAAAGCTCTGTATTTCACAATTCAGGGCTGGTATTACTCCATATTTATGAAGATTGGAGACAATGACCAATTCTATCAGCACTCCTGCACCTGAAGTGGTCTGGGTGGCTATGCTAAGGCTAGCGGTGAGCAATATGAGGATATTTGTTGTTACTGTTGTATGCATATGGTGGATATCCACATCTACATCCAGTACTTCAAGACAGTAGTGTCGCTAGAATTTCATTTTAGGTTGGAGGGGTCCACTAGGAAGCGTTATGTCCAAAAGATATTGCTATAATGAGGTCAACAACCGTGAAATAGCCAATAAGCCTGCATCACTGTACCTTCCATTACCAGAAAGATAAAAATAAATTTTAAACAAAACACAATGAACTGCCTAGTAACTATAACAGCTGACAGCACACCTCAGTGGGTAAAGGCCCTGCTAGAAAAAAACAGCACAGACCAGCATGGCTGGTCACCAGCACTGGACATTTTAGACTGATCACCAGCAAACCCAGCATATGTTGTGTTTTAGATGCTGGTATGCTGGTCAACAGCTTGACTATGCTGGGTGGTCAGCAAGACCAGCACTAGACCAGCATAAACCAGCTTGGAGTAGCTTAGACCACCAGCATTGAAATCATGCTGGTTGGTGCTCTCTTTTCAGAAGGGTAATTAACCCCAGCCCTATCTTTCACAATGAATGTTTAAAGACGGTGGTTTTTATTATCTCTATTTTGCAATACTGAACTGGTTTTTCTTGACCACGGTCAATTTTTGGAACTAGCACTGCTAGTCTAATTTCCCACAATGTGCAGAAACAGTGGAGCATGCTAATGCTGCGTTTGAACGCTGGCATTAAAATAATCGGTGTTCTGTGCCTCATTGCAGAGTTCTTTTTAAATGGCAGTGCTACCGATGGCGGCATACAGTTGCCATAGTGATAGCGACTGCCAAAAATTGGTAATGATCAGAGGAGATCAGTGGCAATCACTTTTAATTGTTTGAAGTGGACAAAAGGCACAAAAACGCAATAACTCAGCGTCTCTCTGTTATAAAAGCACAAGACAAATTACAGTTTATAACATTTTCACAGGAACATATTTTTCTTTTGAGCAGTCAGAAATCTGGGGAGATGGTCTAGGCCATCATGGGTGGCCTGGAGGGGCCTAGGCCCTCTCACTTGGAAGCAAGTTGGTCAAGAACAGTGACCAAGTCCATGTTTCATTGCAAAGACAGCATAATTAGACCAGATTAATTGGATGTTATACAGTCTAGTATATGAAATGTTGATTATCACTGTGTGTATAGATTTTGATAGTGTTTTTTAATGTAGCACTCCTGGTTTCTTTCGATCAAGCTCCAGAAAAACTAAATGTCATGATACATATTGTGTATCAAGAAAATGTCTTGATATATTATGATATATTTTATGGCCCACCCCTCGTATAGGTCCATGATTCTAGAATAATCTCCTGTTCCCTCATCCACTAGCCTGAGTGACTCAGTCTTGTCTGTGCAGGGGAGGGTTGCTGGTTGGTAGGAGCAGAACATGGTAGGCTACTAATTCTGTGCCAGGACCTGAGGGAAAACCGTTTCATTCTGTTCTCTGTTCATCTCTCCCTTGCATGCTCTCTCTCCTTCTCTCTCATCCCCCTCCTCTCTCTCTTTCAGCCGCTCACTCACTTGGAAAATGTGGCTATGACAGCTTTAACATCTGCTCCCGTCACAGTACACACAGCCCCTCCCCAGCGCTTTCTCTGCCTCTCTCTCTCCCTCTGACACAGACGCACACACACACATAGAGCTACATCACATTAGATTCAATAACATATTGACCCAGAGGGAGGCATTTAAATGCTGCACACTGATTTTCTGCCGGAGGGTGAAGAACTCCTGTTTAAACATGATTACTCCTCTTTACATTGTAGCAGGGTAATTCTGGGGGTGTGAGCGTTGATGACAGCTTTTAGCAGATCTCCTTCAGCCCCTCGCCATAAAGGTGTTTTAACAAACACTCTCCCATCCTGTTCTCTTCTCTTCTCTTTAGGAAAAAGCCTTGAATCGAGCTGAAAGGGAATCAGGCTCTTTTGAAGCACTCGAGCAGATGAGATTAAAGAGAGGTGCAAATCAGTGAGTAATTACAGTTGGCTCATAATTATTTGAATCAGATTACTAAAGCTATTCAACAAATTCTCTCTCTCTCTCTCTTTCTCTCTCTCCTCTCTCTCTCTCCCTTTCGTCCCTTCCTCCCTCATTTTTTCCTCCCGTGCCATAAAATCAATTGTTGGGCTGCTAGGTCTCTTTGTCATGTGTGTGTGTGTGTGTGTGTGTGTGTGTGTGTGTGTGTGCGCGTGTGTGTGTGTGCGCACGCTCATGGATAAGCCGATAATTCCCCCTGAGCACAGATCTCACCCGCCCACGCTTGTCTCCTAGCAGCCATCCTTGTCTGTAGTTATCTCTGTCTGAGTCTGCATGAGTGGATGGGGAAAGCTTGGCTGGCCCTTATGAGCCTTTGTTGCTGTGCCTGTCTGTCTTGTTCTGGGCAGAACTGCAGGAGTGAATGTGAGAAAACTGAATAAGCAGGAGTTCCTGCAGGCTTGTGCTTCAAACAGTGCTGAAAAGGTCAGCTGAAGAGTACTGTCAGATTAGATGCTTAAACATAAACAAACAAAAAAAATCACCTCCCACACA